TCCTTCTGTGCTGAGGGATGATGATTTAGAACCATAGTCTTAACTTATGGAATATATCCACATTCATCAAAGTTAAGAAAATATACCTAATTTATGCAAAATTTGCGAAAGCATTTTTTTTTGTTATCCTTGGAGACAGTTTAGGATTGAAAAAAGATTTAAGTAACTTTCAAGGAGCAACATGGCGGCAGGTTAAAAATGCAGTGGGAAGGGGTAAGGCATTTGTTCTGAAGCATGTAACTTCTGAGGCATCCTGCAAAAATAAGTGCCCTCCTGGGCCTGTTGCATTTTGTAAAATGGGATGTGTCATTGCCATGTCGTGATGATCACTGGAATCAAGCCCTTAATCCTACTAGTTCATCTGTAGTTAAGCACCAGACACCTTCAAGGCCCTACAGATTTTCACCATGGGATCACTGTTGAAGGAGCACTGATGTTTGTTGTATGAGCAGCACAGCGGAGGCTGCCAGGGAAGCATGGCCAACTGGTACTGAGAAGACGGAGTGACAATGTGGCAAACATACAGCATGAGGACAAATATACAAAGACACAGCCTACCTCTGTGTGCTCAGTTGTGCAGAGCAGTTGCTACTTCAATTTCCATGGGCACCCAGCCACTGCTCACCCTCATGTAAAGAATTTATTTTGGCCTTTGTTTTCTTGTGGCTACACCCTTAATCAATACCACCTTAAACCAGGTTTCTTCTCTGGGTCTCCTTATTGCTACATACACGGAATATTTCTATACTCTCTAATACACAGGGAATACAGCTCTGGGCACTTTTCTTAGTGTATATACATAATCTTACTATTCCAGGAAAGAGATTAGCACTAACACCTGACATCTATTGCTACAGATTTACTACAAATCATCCTAATAATTCTGTCTTGTAGCAATGCCACAATTCAATTTATATCTAGTCTAAGTGCTATTTGGACATTGTGATGCTGTGACACAGAGCATGACTTGCTTCTGTTACTCATCCAACGCCATCACCACACAATTCAGCCCACACAATCTCTTCCCTGCAGGACTTTCTGTCTTTTTACCCTTCTCACTGACAACAGGTTATAGGTGTTTTTCAGAGCTTGTCAGTGTTGCTCAGAGGCAACAGGCACAAGGAAGACACTATAGTCCCCATCGTCAATGCTCTTTTAAGATACAGCTTACCAGGACCTAAGCAGTAACTGCAAAAGATGCTCCTTCCACATTTTTGTTTAGAGTTGCTGTGATGCAGTTGTGTGTCTCACTTGGGATCCCTTAGGAGCCAAACTAAATAGAAGTGGACACACATAAGACACACAAAATAAAAGCATGGAGATGGCCATACAGTATTAAAAAAAAAAAAGAAAAGAAAAGGGGGAAATTAACTCATAGACAAAATTATGCATCCTGAAAATTGGTTTCTTTTCTTGTTTGTCTTTTTTTGCCTCTGGTTTCTCAAGAGTATGATTGAGAAACAGGGAAGTAAATGTCAGAATTTGCAAGCACAGAAATATGCCTCTGTGGATTGAAACAAAATCCGTATCACCCATGGGGAAGAGGAAGAAGAGAGAAAGTATATATGCTCTGGCAGTAACAAAACACCATTTTGAAAACATTACCCAAGACAGCCATGTACTTACTGTTTTGGCCCAGCTAAATTACCTACTGTATGCTTCCCCAGACAGTTATTACACTGGCTTCTAGCCATATGCCTTTGATAAAGTGCACTTGGAATGAAACAATTTTGCTTCCAATATAATCTCTTCTACTCCAGAAACTGTCCTACAGCAAGATTTTCTGACATAACCACAGAAGGTGCAGTCAAACTACAATCATAACATCATAGAAGAAAGTTTGACAACAGGTATTACAAAATTGGCAGGAGATGCAAGGTAAAGGCAAATCTTACAAATACTTTTCACATCACCACTGTGACTGCAACTCTCATGGGACTGCACCTGAAGTGGTGCATTCAGCTCTGGGACTCCAAAATAAGACCTGGACCTCTTGGAGCAAGTCCAGAGGAGGCCCACAGTAAAGATCTGAGGGTTTGAGCACCTCTTCTCACGAGGACAGGCTGTGAGAGTTGGGTTTGTACAGCCTGGATGAGATTCTGTGGAGACCTTATAGCACCTTTAAGTCAGTACCTAATGGAACCTAAAGGAAGGCTGGAAAGGAACTTTTTAAAAGGGCATGTAGTGACAGAACAAGTGGTGATGGCTTTAAGCTAAAGAAGGTACGTTTAGATTAGCTCTTTGAAGAAATTCCTTACTGTGAGGGTAGTGAGCTGCTCTAACAGCAGCTCAGTGCTCAGTGTAGCTGTGGATGCCCAATCCCTGCAAGTGTTCAAGGCCAGACTAAATGGGTCCTTGAGCAACCTGGTTGGGGGGATCTAGTTCCACCTAACAGGTCTCTTCCAACCAAAACCATTTTGATTCTATTATCAGAGCTGTTCACCCAAAGGGATTAACTAAATTACTGATGGATTGTTCAGAGCACAGGATTATTTATGTACAGCTAATCACTTCAAATTTAAGTTACCTGAGTATTATTCTGCTATGGATGGACTGAGATGAAAGATGTGTCTCCTAGTAACTATCATCTTCACCATAAAGTCTGTGGTGACCAACACTATGAATTTTTTTCACCAAAAATGCATTTCCTCTGTCCAGCTCTAAAATTAACTATCTTACTGCTCGTGTGATCAGACCACCAAAGCAGATGTCAGTTGCTGTTTTGCCGATAAACAAGCTTTTATCTGCAGGATTTCCTTCTAATAAGTACTTTTCCCAGAACATGAAGGCCATATAACTTCAAGACAGTTCTAACCTAAAACCTCCTCTGGAATTGTTAATATTTCTCCAAAGAGTGACTGTTCTTGAAAAACTTACCAGTTTCATATACCATTCCTTTTTTCTGTAAGGCAACAAGCAAATTCACAGGATTTGAGTTGTTGCAGCAAGTGTTCTGCTGTAGAGCTATGCAATTTGCAGCAGGGCTAAGGCTTACCAGTCCAATTTTAACACTGAGGTTAAGTACAGGTAATTGTGTAACATAATAACTGCTGCTTGGGCAACTTATTGCCATCTCTATGCCTGGTGCAACTGAACATTTGGAAAAACAGCTGTATAGTTAAGCTTAAAAAGAATAAAGCTTTTAATTTTTGAAATTGTGACAATACTTGCAAATTTTTATTTAAGCAAATTTCGGAAATTGGACCTGTGGCACAAACTTGGATCTTTAATTAATGTAAGCTTTATATTTTTATTCAAGTGGCTTTTAATTTTAGTTTGTACATTTCACCTTTTGGATCAGTAGTGACTTGCATTTTGGGTAATTTTAATTTATGAAATTTCTAGTTTTTTCATTACATAGCAACAGAAGGGAGCAAGGTAAATTCTTTCACGACTATATTCCTTCTTCTAACTTAAAATATAAAAAATATAATCAAGTTATTTTACTTCACATCCTATTGTTTTATTTAGGATTTCCTTAGCTGCAAGTCAAATTTTGGAAAGCTAATAAATTACAGGAATGGCTTCACCCTTTCTCTTCCTCCCTCTCTGGCAACTCCTAAAGTTATTTTTTTCATGTATCAGTTCAAGATAGCCATTTATGTTATGAAGGGCTTAGGAAAGACTTCCAGGCTTTTTTTTTTCCCCAGTTGTTGTCTGTTTTGCTTCAAAGGGAAATAAAACCTTATTTAGGAAAAAAACCAAACTTTATTTTTTCAAATCATGTCTGACAGATTGCAACACAAACAAAGTACAATAAAAAAATTACTCACACGGCCTGCAAAAGTTAACAAGACAGTAATCAAATAATGAACCTCTGTCCAAGTCCTTTTTGGGTCCAATATACATTCTTCATACTACAGAAGTAATGCCCACTTTACAGTGGCATCAGATAAAGTTTGTGAAACCATTTTAACATAGTCACTGGTATCTGCTCTCTCTATATAGCAGCTTTTGACACAGTTTTATATTCCTCCAGACACATGAAGGATAGTCTGAAGTCAAATATAAATTTCTTCCCTTGTGTCAAGAGTTCAGCATTAACTTCCACAGGTTTGCCTGGAATCTACCTGAGGCCTTTCATGAGTAAATATACAATCTGGTAGAAGCTGTTTTGCATCTGTCAATCCATCCCATACAGCATTATTGGCACTTTAAAAAGGGAGCAGATGCACAAAATATGATGTTGGAACTGAATAAATTTTTCTTTCTCAAAGCCTACAGCCATTTTTGCTACTTTTAACAACTAATTGTGAGCCACGTGTATAGCATGCCAAACAAACCTAAAAAGAATATATGTGATAAATCAAAAGATGCCATAGAGGTTTCTCCTCCCATGCCCATCTTTGCAAAAGAGGCTAAAATAAGTCAAGTATAGGCTGTGATCTCCTCTACAGTATTCTGACATTAGAAAAATAATATAAGATATTTTATTCTTCTTTGAAGCTGCAACCCTGAGATGAGCTCAGCTGGTTAAAGCTCAGTGCTAATAATGCCAAGGTCATGGGTTTCATCCCTGTATAGGCTATTCACTTAAGAGTTGGGCTCAGTGATCCTTCTGGGTCCTTTCCAACTCAGACTATTTTGTGATCTGTGAATTTAGTAAATGTAAACAGGAGTGGAGCATTTGACAAATTCTACACACACACAATGTATAAACAAAGAATTGCTGCCATAGCTTTAATTTTCATGCCAATATTATCTCTGCAATTGCCTCAATAATCTAATATTTCCATTGTGATCATTTGTTTTGCAATGCAAAGCTTGTTTTTGTTTTCCCTCTCTATCTAAACCTTTCAGAAAAAGCTACGAGTGAAAGCAGTAAATACATAAAACCAGAGCACTCACCTCATTAAGGCCTGAGAGCACAGTGACATGAGGCACTTGTGTCCCATTCCGTGGAATACAGTGCAAAGAGTCCCAAGTCAGCTGAGACTCCAGAGAGCCTCTCCAAGCAGAACAGAATACTAGCATTGCATTTATAATAGCACAGATCTAAATACTCTGAAGTCAGCTTTATTGTTTTTGTGCAGTGAGCTTGGGTAACCCTACGCTGGAATCATCACAGGTCTACCTGTGCCAGAGTAAGTACAGAGACAGGTACGGTTTATTAGATCTTTGCAGCATTTTCTGTCTTTCACAGAGTCTGTACATGTTTTTTATCTTATAGTTTTACTGAGGTTGCAAAATCCAATGCCAACACAGGTCATCAAAACTTTCTCCCCGCCCATGTGCTCTTCCTCAGTGGTCTTTGTTTCAATTTTAAACATGATCTGGAAGAAGCTTCTGAGGTGTCGCAGAAACTCAATTCTGAATGAGAGAAAATAATACTGTTTAAGAAACAAAACAGAAAGTCCAATAGCATTATGTACTAACACAGATTCCAGCAATGAGCATGTGAATGAAATAAGAAAATATTACTTAGTACAGAGAAACAGGGCTACAAGCTCCAAACACTGTTCTCATTGTGTTGTAGAAGTTGCTAGTGACCCTTCCTGAAACCTCTGCACTCTCTGTAGAAGCAGAGAGAGGAATGGCTGGTAACACAGCAAGACAAAATGGTGAGGAAAGAAGAAAGAAAGGAGAGAAATGTAGCTAGGCAGGTTATTTACTCCTGATGCTGACTCTTCATCAGGGCTATATGAACCCCATACCCCATACCAACCCATGATTCTCCTTTCCCCTGCCTAATGTTTAAAGTAGAAATAAAACATAAACAGGCATGGGTGCATACTTTAAGAGAGATCCCAAAGCATGTGTTTGATTTCTGACTGATTACTGACTTCTCCACTTCTCAGTTAAATGTTTCATTAGGATTATATTCAGACTTAGAATTCTTCCTGTTTTCTCATTTTCAGGAAAAAAAAATTCCTTTCATCATTTCAGACAGAAAGGCAACAAAAAACTGAACAATCACATTGATCCTAAACAAACACTGACTGGAGGGCGAGTAACACGAAAAACTATAAAAAAAGAAAAAAACCAAAAACATCCAAGAAAACATTTTTGCTGGCTTCTCCAAAAGAAGGAACATGCAATTGCACCAAAAGACTACAAAAGAAAACTTGTAATTGTTTCTGACAAAAGTTTGGACTCTTCCAGTCATGGCCACAAGCAAGTCTGCAGTCTTGAATAAAGATTTAATCTCCTCCAGCAACTGGTATGCACCTTTCTTAGTTCAAAGAAATGGAATGAGGATATCCAGTTCACACATTAGCTTGTCTGCTCTACATGCTGAAAGCATAACTGCAAGCTAATCACACATACATTATTACAACAAATCAAGAGTAAGTATCCACAAAATGGGAAGAAGGAGAACAAAAGCCTAAGCCTGTCCCCACTGTGGCATCACGAGGCCTCTGAAAGCCTCTTGGCAGCTCCTATCCACAGAAATTGTGAAGGAGTACAAGGAAAATTGCAGGAGCAAATTGCTTTATACACTTCAGCTGGGCATGCTGCTGTTTCTGCACTCAGATATATGCATGGGAGAGGAGGAAAATGGCAGGAGCTAGAAAAAGAGAGGCTGTGCCACCTACACTGGTGCATGCTTGGGATGATCTCACGTATCTCTGGGGCAATCTGCTAAATACCTCTGCAGGGTGAATGTGGGAACATTGCTCCCAATGTTATGTATCCTTTCTCCTGCACTTTCCTGGACTGATAACTTGCTTCAGCACAGACACCAGCTTTCTCATCTCTCAAATAAACTAACAGTTGAAAGAAAGAACTGAAAAGCACCTTTTCTTCCATGCCTCCCCAGTTGCAAGGTTTCTCATTGCAGCTATAGTAGGCAAATGGGCATATGCTGGCACAAATGCTCCAGTAAAGCTGACAGACCACAAGCTCTGTATCAGCCTTCTCCTTAGCTGGGTCCTTTCACAGGCTCTGGCAGTGTGACAAGAAAGCAGGCAAGCCCAAAACAGGGGAAGTGAACTGCAAGGAGACACTGCAGAATAAACTGTAAAAATGACAGAGGCCATGTGGAGCCAGAGACTCAGGAAAAAATCCTAAAAGGTGATCGGGAAACTCTGCAACATGTTGATGGGATAAGTTCAGCCCATACCTCTCTGGGCTACCCTGCATCTCTGCATCTTTTTCCTTTTGAATAAAGGCTGAGTGAGAAAAATATCAGCCCCTACATACATGGGAAAGGCTCTCTGGGGTGCGAGCAAGGGGAAGGCTTCCTGGGGACACCAGGGGAAAATGCATAAGCACCAAAAGGCCAGCTTTGTCTTGTAACAGTGGAAGCACAAGTGGTACAAACCCTGAAAATAGAAGAGAAAGAGGCAGGAAAGTAGAGGTTTGTGACAGAAAGCAGGCTTGTATTAGCTCTGAGGTTGGTCTGGGTTGCAAGTGGGCACCTCAAATAATAGCAGAGGGCACTCCAACCACACAGGCACAGGCTGCAGGACTGAGGGAGGGGGTGAAAGGTACAAAGAAGGTTTATTTGGCTGAAAATTTACACTCTGTGTTCAGGCAAGAACAAGGCAGCAGCTGAACAGAGCTGCTTCTTAGGTGCAGGGACAGCTACATGAGCCACACTGGAGGCCTTGTAGCCAAAACCAACAAGAGTAAAAGGCCTGTTTATCTAAGTGCTGTCTTTTCCCCAAAGCCTGCTAAGAATTACCAACAAGTACACAAGAACTTCACATATTGAGCAAAGCAACCAACTAACAGAGAGAGCAGTGTGAGAGAAGACCTGTGTACCAGCAGTGCATTCTTGGTTCAGCTGCACTGGGGCCTGCACAGGGCTTTGCCTGCTAGCAGCAGCAGCAGCCCCAGCACGGCTCTCCTAAGTCCTGCCACACACCTTCCCTGCAGGAGACAGACTGAGGAGCCGGGAGTGGGCATCCCCAGTCAGGGGAGAAACTGAAAGTGTCAGCTTGGCTGGGCAGAGGCACCCTAACCCCACCTCTTGAAGCCCCTAAACCCTTGCAAAGCCATGGATTGGGGCACTCGAGCTTTTGGGGCACAACAGGCCTTCCTGTTGCTGCCTTTCATGTACCCCTGGCGCATGCTGATCCACCAGCATGCAGACAGGTCTGTCCTGCCAGACTGACCTCTGTGAGTTAGTGGGATGGCCAGCACTCTGCATTTGATTTTAAGCTCAGCTTGACAGAAAGGCACTTGCTTCTGTGAAATACAGACACTAAGAAAGGGGTAACAGCAGCTGCTGGCCCTGCAGACTGTTAGCTCCACTGCCACTCAGGACAGCCCTGCTCATGGTGTTTCATTTCCACTCCCCATAGTTAGCTGAGGCAACGAATGTCTCCTGTGAAAATAAGAAGTTTCCTCATTCTAATGGACATGTTCCAAAGCATTTTGTCCCCATGTGATGCTCTCAGCAGCCAGCTGAACTGTCACATTCATGCTATATTATGCTGGACAGGGAAGCCAATAATATAGCTTTTAAATAACTTCAGATTCTGTAGGGTGAAAGTGTTAAATACAGAGATGTCACAGCTCTGAAAGAAAAGAAGGAACAACGACACGGAACATGACAATACTGCAATTTACTTCATAAGCTTGTGTGCCCTATGAGTTGCTTGGGAACCAAATTTACCAGTCCTTTATAAACAGCCCTAGTTGAGGGCATAAAAAGCCCTAGTTGTTGAATGCATAAAAAGCTGCATTCTATCTGAACAGATCCCATAGGATTGATGAGTCACAGATTCTCACAGAATCATAGACTTTAAAATATGCTGCTTCAGTATGTGTACTCCTGACCTTTATCCCTGCTGTATACACCTAGCTTGGAAGAAGTGACAACCCACCAACTTGAATTCATCCTGCTTACAAAATAAACTAGTGTATTTGCTTGATTTTCACAGAAGAAAAAAAGGGTAAAAAATTTAAAAATACTCACAATGACAAGTGATTGGATTGTCTCTTATGCTTAACTGTGCACTTCAAACACTAATATCTACTCTTCTGATACCTTCCACATGAATACTTACTTTATAGGGGATTACTTCCCCTTTGTGCAATGGGATACTTCCCTGTCTTCCCCTCAAAATCTGATGAATGTTGTTTCCAAGGTATCAGGAGTTGAGAAGAGCAGTTAGGTAATTTTTAGCTCTCATGTGATGGCACCACCATTCTTCAGTTATCACAGTACTGTACCTTTCACGTATACAGCACCGGTACCATGATAACCGAAAAAGGACAGTTCATGCTCTTATTATTTGATGCCATTGCCAGATAAACAAACCTCCCTTCATCTGACTAAAGAATAACTGCTCAGTCTCTAGAAATAACTGTGATCTATTAAATCCCTTGCAAGTCTGAAAAATTAAATTTTTGATAAATTGTTTTGATAAATTTGTTTTGATGAATTTTTTTTTGATAATTTGTTTCCCTAACCAGTTTCTCCTAGAACTCAATTAGGCCACTGCTGTGAAAGATAATAAAAGGTGTTTTTATAAATACATTAAAAACTAAAGGAAGGCCATGGAAAATCTCCATGCTTTAGTGGGTGTGGAAGGGAACATTGTAATCAAGGATGAGGAAAAGGCTGAGGTCCTCAAGGTCTTCTTTGCCTCAGTCTTTAACAGTAAGACTCATCCTCAGGGCAACCAGCCCCCTAGCTGGGGTACAGGGAGCAGAATAGATCTTCTGCAATACACGATGAAGTACTGAGACATTTAGAATTCTATGGGATTGGATGGAATTCATTCAAGGGTACTGAGGGTGCTGGCAGAAGCATTCACCAAGAAAATCTCCATCATGTAGCATCAGTCCTGGCTAACTGAACAGGTCCCAGAGGACTGGAAGTTGGCCAGTGTGATGCTCATACCAGCAGGGTCAGAAGGGAGGACCCAGGGAACTATAGGAATAGCCCATGGCTTGGATGAGCACCCTCTTCACTAGGTAAAAAACCATTTGTATGGCTGGGCCCAGAGAGTATCGGTGCATGGAGTTACATCCAGCTGGTGGCCAGTGACCAGTGGTGTTCTCCAGGGCTCTCTGGGGCCAGTTCTGTTTAATATCTTCATCAGTGACGTGGATGAGGGGACTGAGTGTCCCCTCAGTCAGTTTGCAGATGACACCAAGCTGGGTGGGAGTGCTGATCTGCTGGAGGGCAGGAAGGCTCTGCAGAGGGATCTGGACAGGCTGGACCATGGGCCCAGGCCAGTGGTGTGAGGTTCAACAAGGCCCAGTGCTGGGTCCTGCCCTTGGGTCACAGCAAGCCCAGGCAGTGCCACAGGCTGGGGCAGAGTGGCTGCAAAGCTGCCACAGGAAAAGGCCCTGGGGGTGCTGGTGACAGCAGCTGAACATGAGCCAGCAGTGCCCAGGTGGCCAAGAAGGCCAATGGCATCCTGGCCTGTGCCAGCAATGGTGTGGCCAGCAGGAGCAGGGCAGGGATTGTCCCCCTGTACTGGGCACTGGTGAGGCCACACCTCAGATCCTGTGCTCAGTTTTGAGCCCCTCACTCCAAGAAGGACATTGAGGTGCTGGAGCATGTCTAGAGAAGGGCAACAGAGCTGGTGAAGGAATACAAGTCCTGTGAGGAACACCCGAGGGAGCTTGAGATGTTTAGCCTGGAAAAAAAAGGAGGCTCAGGGAGACCTTATTGCTCTCTACAATTGCCTGAAAGGAGATTGTACAGAGGTGAGGGTTTGGTTTCTTCTCCCAGGCAACAAGTGACAGGATTAGAGGAAATGGCCTCAAGCTGCACCAGTGTAGGTTCAGGTTAGACATCAGGAAGAGTTTTTTCACTGCAAGGGCTGTTAAGAATTGAAATGGGCACCCATGGTGGTGGTGGTGGAGTCGCAATCTGTGGAAGTGTTAAAGAAACAACCAGATCTAGCACTATAGTCTAGTTGAGAAATAGTGTTCAATCAAAAGTTGGACTTGATCTTAGACATCTTTTCCAACCTTGATGATTCTATGACCTGTGTTTACAACTAGCAATGTAAGAAATTAATTTCTTTTCTATCCCCTGAACAACTACCAGCTACAGACAAAGCTTTAGTAAAAACTGAGACTGAAGGACCAGATAGGATTCTGCTGCCCAATAAAACCTTAAAATAGCACATAGCTCCGTGAACTGAAGTCTTAAGCTGTTTCATAGGAAGAATCACTGGCTAGCCATTTGAAATACAACATTTAATGACACAGCTACAGAGAGATCACCAGGGAAAATATAGTAGTGTACACTAGGCAATAAAAAGCCAACTGATGTACACATACATTCCACGTCAAGAACCATCAATAAACCCTGTCTCTGCAATTCTCAGAAACAGGAATAATATAGAACAGTAAGGGACTCATCTAACATGTAGAAACAAACCCAAGGCAACTTCACCACTTGTCTCATTTGAAGTCAGGTACAAGTTGTTCTATTTGTTACCATAGGCAAAATCTCCCATATATAAAAATAGCTGTGCAATAAAACTAGTGAATTAAAACAAGACTGTGTAAGTGAACTGAACAAAACAACTTACGTGTATGGAGACAAAGGTCCCAACAGGACTTTGGAAACATCCCGCTGTCCAAGGGTCATAAGGAGCAGAGCAAGGCTCTGATTTGTTGAATCTACACAGCCTCCCTGCAAACCAAAATGTTTTAATAATTAATCTCTGTACAAACCAGCAATTGGGATGGGAGGAGAGTAACAAAGGCAAAAGATACACTTAAAAGGGTGAAATACCACTCCCAATTTTTAAGGGCCAAGAAGATAAAAATCTAGATTTTTTTAACAATGAAAAATCAATTTCACATGGCTAGGAAAAGAACAGAACTAAAACCCATAAGAAGATCACATTAAATATCCCTCCTAATCTGTTTTAACACCTCAGAATGTAAACACTGAAGAATTTCTTTCCAGTAAATTGAAAAGAGGTATTAGTTCTAGTTGACATGCATCTGAAGATCGATGAATTCCAGCACTATATTATAATAGTTACATTTGGACAAATAGTTCAGTGTTAGCACGTGGAAAACAGCAAGTTAAAAAGTTATTTAGCACTTATTCACAAAAACCCTTGCTGCCAACTTTTATGAGTTTACACCTGTAAAACATTTCCCCTCCATCATTAAAATAGAAGATTTTTTATTGCTAGTGAAAGAGCCATACATAAAATTAAGCAGAAGCACACACACTCATGTACATATTTGACTGTAGTAAGTCATATGCAAGGTAAATTGTTCTGTATGTGGAAAATATTTACTATGATGCATACATTAATTAGAACTGGAAGACTAGAATTATAAATAAGAATTGTTTACAAAGCTAGAATATAAATTTAAAGGGATACCTTCAGTCAAAGCTGCTGTAGAGACCAGCCCCATGAAATCTATGAATAGTTTTCTGCTGCATCAGGCCTAATGCTAACTCTTCAGAATAGGCTCTCATGAAACCAAAACCTTACTTTTTAAAAACCAAATTCTCTAATAAGGTAAACTGACAGCTACCTTTGTTGACAAGGAAGGTAACCTATCATAATTTCAAGACATAACACTATCCAAGAAGGCAAGGGAGAAAATATATTTTGGACTACATAGATTAAGAGAATCAGCCAATGTGACAACCTCAGAACATCTACTCAGTGAGAGGCAGAAAGGCAGAGCCTTTCTGAGAGGGGATACTGAAGACTTAATTTTCAAGATGGCCTTTCTTCTGTGTGACAAGCTGCAGCTCCATTCTTCTGAAAAAAAGTCTGTGCATTATATGCAAGGAACTACAGCACAGCAAAATAAGTAGCTCTATTGCATTCACTACCATGACCCAACTCCTAAAACATGCTCTTACAGCAGTGCTTGCCCTCTTAACTATGTGAACTTGACGCACCAAAATGAAGTTCACATAACCTAATGCTGCCTATAGGACTGATAAAAATTTTGCTTTATCTTGAGTGAACAGAGTACTTGCAGAATTTGCTGGTGCAATCTAAAGCCACAGATCTCACCAGCTGTATTTGCCAATGAAACATATACCAAAGCAGATAAGAGTTTGGTAAGGATATTCCTGACACTGGACTTTCTGTAGTTGTAGTTTGATTAGTAATTCAAAATGCTCCTTCTTACTTGGATGAAAACTTCACATTTTCTGAGCTTGTTTTACTTCTCTAGAGGTGAAAACATTATAAAGTATCTACTTTTATAACACAATTTATACAAAAGCTTCAATCAGCATGGAGACAACCATGTCCTAAGAAATAAAACACAATGCATCCATCATGTCCTAACTGCTTACATAAGCTCCCTACATTGCTGCAGTGAGTCAGTCGTCCCCAGTACTGCTGTGCAGTAGCAATCTGCTATGCACATTTGTGGCGCTGTCCCCTTGAGCCACTCTACCATCTCCTCAGGAATTCTCATTAGACACTGACCTTGATTAATGGCTCCTGGGCAGTTAAGCTCCTTTTTAGCTTACCAGAAACAGTCTGCTCCCAGGAACTTCTGCCTAACAAACTGCTGTTTTCTAATGGACAGTCTTGGAACATTATTTTTGTCTAAATCACAGCACAGGTGGAACAATATTATTGTCACTGCACCTTTTGACAAAAATTCCGGTAACAACTGACCCAGATTATGGCCAGGATGGAGAATGACAGAAGGCTAAAGCCAAGCACCTCACAACCCTACTAGCAGCAGTACTAAGCAAGGGTCTTTGAGTTCTCTAAGGCTGTATCAGCACCTCCCTCGAAGTGGTACAGCTCTTGAGGCTCAACAACCCTCAAATCTTCAGTACTTAGAGAACAATCACCAAAAGCTGTTGACAGGGCCTGCGATGACACACTCAACCCTCAAAGCTTAACCCTTCGAAGTGTTTACAGGTACAAAGCCATCTGACATATTTTACTAAACTTGAGGGGAATTTTCAACCTTTTTATATACATCTTTATGTCTATCTGTGTGCAGGTATGAATTGATTTAAATATACTACATCAAGTGTAGTATGAATGTTGCCATCTCTTAATTTTTCAAGTAAGTTGCTACTGAGCTTATAGAAAATCTTACTGAATACTTTTGTAAATATTAGTCACAGAATCACAAAACGGTTAAGATTGGAAGGGATCACAGCAGGTCAGCTAGTCCAGCCTCTCTGCTCAAGCAGGATCGCCCCAGAGTACATGGCACAGGATTATATCCAGACTGTTCTTGAGTTTCTCCAGTGCATGAGACTCCACAATCTCTTTGGGCAACCTGTTCCAGTGTACAATCACCTGCACTGTAGAGGATATGTAAAAATATCTTCCTCATATCTAGGTGGAACTTCCCATGCATCAGTTTCTGTCTATTGCCTCTTGCCCTAATGCCTGGCACCACCAAGAAGAGCTTGGATCCATCTTCCTGGCACACTCCCTTCATAAGGTCACCACTCAGTCACCTCTTCTCAACACCAAACAGGAGCAGCTCACTTGGCCTTTCCTTTTAAGAGAGATGCTCCAGTCCTTTAATCATCTTTGTCATCTCCTCTAGACTTGCTCCAGGAGCACCATGCCTCTCTTGTCCTGGACACAGCATTCCATATGTAGCCTCACCAGGGCTGAGTAGAGGGGCAGGATCAAGACCCTCAACCTGCTGTCAGTGCTCTTCCTAATGTACCCCAGGGCATCATTGGCCTTCCTGGCCACCAGGACACACTCTGGCTCCTGGACAGCATGTTGTCCCCCAGAATACAGACAGCTATTCCCCAGTGGTTCAGTTCCCAGCCTCTCCTAGTGCCCAGGTTATTCTTCCCTACATGCAGAACCCTGCATTCACCTTTGCTGAATTTCACAGCTCTTCTCTGCCCACCTCTCCACCTTCTCAAGGCCCTTCTGAAGGGCTGCACAGCCCTCTGGGGTATTGGCCACTGCTCCCAGCTCTGTGTCATCAGTGAACTCACTGAGAAAACATTTGTGCATTTGTTCAAGTTATTGGTGGAGAAGTTAAACAATACTGGACCAGTATTGAACTTTGGGGACACCACCAGTGACAGGCCTCCAGCCCGACTCTGCAATACTGATTACAACCCCCTGGGATCTCCCATTCAGTTGGTTCTTAATTCACCTCACTGTCCACTCATCTAATCCACATTTCCAAAATTTGCCTATGAGGATGTTGTAAGAGACAGTGTCAAAAGCCTTGCTGAAGTCAAGGTAGACAATATCCACTAATCCATTCATCTAGTTGTTTCATTACTGAAGAGAAGCAGATCAGTCAAGTATGATTTACCTTTAATGAATCCATGCTGACAACTCCTGTTCATTTCTTGTCCTCCATGTGGATAGAAATGGCCCCCAGAATCATCTTTCCAAGACTTCATATAAGGCTGACTGTCTGGTAGCTTCCTGGGTCCTTCTTTCCCTTTTTATGCCCAGTGTGATGTTTGCTTCCTTCCAGTCCTCAGGCACTTCTCCTGATCACCACAGCATTTCAAAGATGGTTGTAAATTGCCCACCTTGGTGTCTATCAGCTCTCTCAGCACTTGTGGGTCCATCCCATCAGGGCCCATGGACTTGTAAATGCCAGGTTTGCCTGACTCCAGCTTGGTCCTCCTTGGGCAAGGGAAAGTCTCCATTCAAGCCTTCCTTGTCCCCAGTCTCCTGGGTCAGAGATCCCTGAGGGCTGGTCTTGTCAGTGATGACCAATGCAAAGGCAGCATTCACTAACTGCCTCCTCTGGGTCCTCTGTTAACAGGGTCCCACTTCCATTTAGTATCAGGCCCATATTATCCTTTTTCCCTTTGTTAGAGATGTATTTGAAAAATCCTTTCTTGCTGTCCTTTACATTCTTTGCCAAACTTAATTCCAGGTGGACCTTGGCTTCCCTTGTCTCTTTTCTACATACTCTGACAATCTCTCTATATGAATTCCAAGTAACCTGACCCTGCTTCCAGTTCCTGCTTACCCTTTATAATGAGAGTAGTTTTTTATTTATCCATCAGATCTCTTCCCCTTTGCCCAATTTCTTCCACATTTGGAAGCATTGTTCTTGAGCCTGAAGGAAGTGATCCTTGAATATCGACCAACTCTCTTGGACCCCTCATGGTCTCTTGGACCCTGTGGGGCTTGTTCTCATGGCATTCTTCATGAAGATCTCCCTGCAGAAGCTAAAGTTAGCTCTCTGAAGTCCGTGGTTGTGGCTACTTGCTGCCCTGCTTTCTCCTCATCTGGAACTGAGTTCCACACTCTCATGGTCACACCTCCAGCAAAGCCTTATCTGTTTGTTAGTATCAGTTGAGCAGCACACCATTGCCTGGGGGATCCTCCACTACCTGTGTCAGGAAATTGTCATCCGTGCTTTCCAGGAACCTCCTGGGCTGTTTGTGTTTCATTGTGCTGGTTCTGCAGCAGATGTCAGGGGAGTAAAGTCCCCCAAAAGAACCAGGGCCTGTGACTTTGAGGCTGCTTCAGATGCCTGTAGATGGCCTCATTCACTTTCTCCTACTGATCAGGCAGCAAATACCCACAACAGCAAAAACCCTTACTAGTCTGCTGTTTAATCCTGATCCATAAGCCCACCATCCTCATCAAGACAGAGCTCAACACTGTCAGGGCTGTCTCTCCTGAACATGGTGTAGCCCTTCATGCCAACATTCCAGTCACACGAACTATGCCACCATGTGTCTGTCACCGCAGTAAGATCAAAGCCCTGCGACTGCATGCAAGTCTTTAGCTCATCCTGTTTGTTCCCCATACTGTGTGCACTGGTGCTCATGCACCTTACAGAAGTATTTGATTGTGTCAGCATTCCAGGAGTCAATGATTAAATGCTGCTAGTTCTTCAGACAAATTGTTGATCAAGTCTGAGGCTACATTTTGCAAGGGATACACTTTTGTGACCCAAAGGGAGGACCTCCCTTAACCCTTCTGCAGCCTTATCCTTTTCCACCCTCACCCTTTTTGCATTCCCATTCTCTGTATAAATCATTGTAGATTCACTCTAACCCAATTTTTCTTTGCGTGCTTCAACTATGTAATAACCAATAGTGAACCTTGCCATCAAACTTTGCAGCACATCAACAAATTTATACAAAAACTTGTTTTTGACAATACTTTTGCCAGTGATTTAAGTAATCTAAACCACTCATTTGCAACCATTCCTACAAAGGCAGTTCCCAGACAGTGATATTAAGTGATTGCTTGTAATCTAATGACTGAACAGTAACTTCTGCCAAGTGAAGGACTTTACGTTCCCAAGGAGGCCAAGTTTTTTTCTATCAATCCACCTGCCACTTATTCAAGAGTCAAAAATTAGAAACAAGCCTCGCAAAAGAAATGGGATGGGCAAAGTCAGAGCCAAGGTACATTTGCTCCAAAATAGTTGGTGCTCATTACCAATGTAGAATGCAGCTTCTACACTGTATTAATTCAGTCTATGGTAGTTTCTCCATTATTATTTACACTGACTACAGAGCCAGATCAAGCTAGTTGTGACAATTAGACACAGATCCCTTAAAATCCCATCCATTTTTAAATGTTGTATAAATACTAAAGCTGACATGTACATACAAATATCACAACACCCCGTATTGGACAAAAGTGTTTCGAAAAGATTTTTTCTTTTGAGCTTGAGCCCGGCTTTGACTAAGTGTTAGTTATATTTTGGGATACACACAATTTCCTCCATTACCTGTGGGTACATATTTGCAGGACTCAGTAATTTGTTATGCAAAAAGTAACAAATTATTGCAGAGGGTTTGTATTTTGGTTTTTGGGGTTTGGGTTTTTCCCCAGAAGAATGGAGCAAAGCCTGACTACACTGAAGTAAGACCATCTTGAAAATTAAGCCATCAATGAAATCCTTCACGCATTTTAGCTCTAGTTCAATAAAACAAACAGTTTTAGCCCTCCTGCCCCTTCAAGGTCCCCTAGCAACTCAGCCTTTCTTCATTAAAGAATTCAGCCTTAAATAGGTACATGTACTCCCCTACTTTTCATGATTACAAAGAATATAAAAATTAAATCCTTTTCCAGTTCTTCCAGATTTTCCATTCTGCCAATTACTCTCTAAATAAAGCTCCCATAAACAATGTCTTTCAAAGGCAAGAGTTAAAACCCTTACTGGCCTTCTACAATTAAGCTTCAGAAAGAACTGCATATGGATTTGTAATGACAATGCTAGTCAGTCACTCCATTGCCCCCTCTTGCAGAGCCACTGTAATTAAGCCACTGTGCCACTTACTAGTCTATTAGCTCTGACATCTTTCCATCAACAAATGCGCATTAAAAAATCTCTGCTGATTCAAAGAATCATGCAACACAATATCTTTTTGAAGGCTTAGTAAAAGGACTTTTAGCAAAACTCAAATCCTTAGATTTTCTAGGTTTAAACTTTACACAATGGCAAGCACTTTACAAAACGTCCCTGAACCCCTTTCAACAGTAACTGCAACTCCAGCAAATTTGTGGGTGATCCCAACACCTAAATCCTTTAAACAGAGAATTGTCTCCAGTGCTCTCAGGGTGCCCTGGTCTGGTGAACCCTCCCTGGCTCCCACAGCAGAGTACCTACTGGTAAAAACACAGATGGTGAAATAATCCCATAAAGAGAAGATCTAAAACCAGGAAAATAAATTCTCCCTTGAGCCCTGTATTCAACAAGTAGGTGGCATAAAAAGATGTGGGACTTAAAGATTGCCTGTTCAGAGTAATCTATTCTTGCTTTTTTTAGATTTTTAGTTTCACTTAACATATTACCTAGGCAAAGAAACATAAACAACTAGTACATTAAACCTAAACAGGCACTGTGCACTTTGCAACATGTTTTTATATCCCCTCTGTGTTCAACACTAAATCGAACTGACCTAACAAAAAAACCAAAAAGACCAAACAAACAAAAAATCACCCCAAACAAAAAATAAATGTCCGAAAAGCAAACACCCTAAAAAAGTCCATCCCAAAACAAAAAACAAACTAACCCCCAAAAAATACAAAAGAAAGAAAATGAAGAAGAAACCTCATCTTTCAAAATTCAGGCTAGTACTGTAGGACCACATGTATCATAGATAAATTCAAGTATGTATTATAAAAACTACATAACAAAACCCATCATATTGCCCATGATGGAGGGAGAGGGGAATTCACTAAATAATGACTAAGCACTGCAGTGAAAAAGTAGCACAACAGCCAAAAATGCTAGCAAACTAGAACTTTCCATAGTGAGCTGCTATAGTGAAGGACAAATAGTCTGTACACTGCTCAGCATTTTTCAGTCTCTCTGGGACAGAAGTCATCCACACATAAGGGAGTCTTCCCGCAGCACCAGCAGTACCATAGCAAGCCACAGCTAACAACCTCACTCACTCAGATTCTGATCTTCAAAGACACTGAAACCTGACAGCCTATTACTTTATGATTCAAAGACTTATCCAACCCTGCTGCCTCCTCAAACATTTTTCCTGTTGTCTTAAGACACTCACTATCCTTTGCAGAACTTGACTCATCATATTCAAATGGCTGCCATACACTAAAGCAGAAAGTTACTTGCTTTAGGCCTTTCCAGTGCTCTTCATTTTGTAAATTCTCTGACATCTGAGTCTGTGCAAAACATATTATCTGGACGAACTGCCTCACTATTTTTAATCTATCAAGTGCTAAATGGTTTCCAAAGGAAAAAAAAAACCTATTGTTGCTGATAAAAAGTATGTGTAAACTGGATTTTTGATGTGTCTGGACATATGACTACCAGAAGATCTTTTCCAAGACATTACACAAACAAATGTACCAAAAGATTTTTGCAGTTCACACCTGAAATAAAAATAACTACATGACATACATAATTGCAGAAAGAGACAGATGTTTCCACCACTAGCTGTGACTACATTCTCCACACAGGCCAGAGTTTCAAGTACAAGGGATCTAGATTGTACCCAGCAACCCAGGAAGAACATTTTGGCAGTGGCATTTCCATGAGACAAGAAGCCTGGGCAAGAAAAGTCCCTTAGCAACATGATTTATATGCTGAATAACTATAGACAAAATATTAATGGAAGACTGGAAAAAGTGGCCAACTGGTAATTCAAACAGATAAAAGATTTGCAATAGGGAAAAATAAAAATAAAATGGGCACAGATGAACAATCTAACACAGGTATGGATGTGATTTATGAAGTTGAGGGGCTTTTTTATATTTAACTGCATTCCCTAAAATAGAATCTCAATAATGGCAGTTTTAACACTTTGGGAAGTCATATAGCTTATTACAGTTCAGAGTAACCACTTTTTTTTTTAAATAATGAGCAAAATTTGTAGATGACTGCCTCCTAAAGGCCAAATATGTTTTATCAATGCTAAAACATAGTTATTTAAACATCTGTGGAGATAAAAAACAAAGCAGCTGGAAAGTTCTTTATTAAATCAGAAACTCATGTTTGCCAAATCATTTGTAACACTGAAAGCTGCTTATCCACTGAAATTCTTGCCACAAATGAAAATCATTTTAATAAAGAAAAAATCATTTAATAAAAAAAAAAATCTATTCTGAATAGAACTGTGATGCACTTAGGATTCCTAAGTAAACACCATCCTAGCCTCTTCCAACAACCCATTAAGACAATTCTTCATACAACCAGCAATTCTCAGCACATTTAACTTTGTTGTCATCATCATAACAAAGTGGTCAACACGAAGCCTTGACGAGTTTTTTTCCCCCTTCTGCCACTCCTATGTTCTTCCACTCATAATCTCCCATTCCAACCACTAGTTTAGAAGCATGGACTATGTCACTCATCCATATTATTTAGAAGAGTAACAGCCAATGTGAAGCTAATTGAATTCTGTTCCAGACAAAAAGCAACAGAAGAAGAATTTGCCACTCCCGTGATTCATAACAACACATATCAGACATTGGAAATAGCATGCCCCAGTAAGTCATTATACTGTTAAAGGAACCATGCAAAATCACTCTTTACCTGGATGAAAAAGACACTGGCAGCATCAGATCCTTTCTCCACTTGGATCTGAGTCTGTCTGAGGGTGTCACCAAACCACCTATCCTTTTATCTATTTTATCATCCCCTTCCCTTACATTTATATACAAATATACAAAACATATTGGCCACTTACTCTGTAGACCTCCTCAAGCAGCAGCTTAGCACAATTCTGGCCCAGTTCCTCAGGAAGCACAGCTGCTCCCTGGCCCTGAGGGTTTGAGGCTAGCTCAGCACTGAGAATAGTGCCATTGATGGTTTCTGCAGTAAGGCACATGCCAAAACCTGGTGATCTGAAAGAAAGTGAAAAAGTGCATTTGATTTAAGGACAAAATTGGAGTAATGAGCCAAGAACTTCAAGTCATAAACGGCTCCTCCCATACGGTGACAAACGTCCTGTTTGATGCAATAGATTGACGCTGGAAAAAGAAAATTAACAACTCTACTTAAACCCAGGACCACAGTTGCCACAAAACCCTCTATGTTGGCTTTTCCTGGGCCAAACTCTTTAAATATGAAAATGAAAAAGAAAATGAAGAGCCATACAAACCTCTGAAATGTTTGGGTTTTTTTTTAATAGAGGAGGGTACTTTCAGATGTATTTAATTTGTGCTTCATAAATATTTCAGAGGTATCTGGTGTTTCTTCTCTGCAACATTCCAAACCAAAACTACCCTTCTTTAAGGCTTTAGCTCTTTCCCCTGGAAGCCGCAATATTTAGCAAAATTAGACTAATTAGTTAGTATCAAGGATACTGCTATCATACTGGATTCACATTTAAGGTGAATGTCACAGTAGCATCAGAAACCCAGACAGCCAGGTTGAAAGTGATTCAGTTCCTCTTGCCATGCTATTGTTTACCTCTCTGCATGAACTGCATGTAGTAAAAATAATGTTGCTCCTCCAAATCATTTGACTTTTTAAATTTCATAAACAGATGAAAAACAAAGTTGAGACCCCAAAACTACACAGCTCCCAGAAATATTTTTGCAATTCTGATCCTGTAAGCAGTTTGGAGCCATTAAAGTTACAATCCTGGCATACTAAATGTGATGAAGGATTGGAAAATACAAAAAATACTAAAAGTTTCTTCAATAATTTCTAGGTTCATAAACTTTCTAATCTAACAAAATTTAACGAAATATTTCAAAAAGCAGAAACAGTGAAAGAAAACATGCATGCCTGCATTTGAGCATACAGGCAGAAAACTGTCAAATGAGTTATCCAGAATCTTTCAACCCCAAGGAAGAAGACATCAGAGATGACAGATACCAGCAAAATTGTCTGAATCGCATCCACCACTTCTGTGTTCTGTCACTAAACAAAATCTGTGGAAGTACAATAAATTAATTTTCCAGTCCTCGCTAGTGAGAGGACAGTCCTTCAGCCATTCAGCAGAAGACTACCCATACTGCTTTAACACTTCCTTAAAACACGTCAGTCCCATCCTTAATATTATCATTTCCATCAGAAGGTGTACAGTCAACTCTGAATCTTGGTTTCCTGAACATATCATGACTCCTTGATCTTAATCTCTTCAAAGCAACAGACTTGGAAATGAAGGGAGCTCAAATTGCCTTTAGTGGCAGTAGTGATGTATTTCATTCCTTGCTTAAGAAAACACATCTATCCCTGTTATGTACCTAGTGAATCACCCGTTCTTTCTTTGTGAGAAATATTTATTTCAAATGAACAGAATAGAAGGTTGTGATCTAAAAACTCAGTAAAATTAGATCAGGACACCCTAGTAAATGAACAAATCAGAATAACACGTCTGTTTCCTGTAAATTCTGGATACTCACTTTCCAGAGTTGACCCCCTTCATATGGTCTGTGTAGATATAGATGTCTGGGAGGAATTTATTCAGGATGCCCCTTGCAGATTCCACCATTCTGTTTGCCATCTGTGGTGACACTCGGACAGAGTATCTACATTTCTAAGCTAAGAAATCCATTGTAATCAGAAGAAAAAATTGAAAGCAGAGACTGACAAAAGTGAAGAGGCCCCAGTGCATTATTTCAGAAAACATGTGCTTTATACAGCTATTCATGAGCTTTTGTCCATGTGCCTGTACCTAGAGAACTATATGCTTTCTACAGTCTTTTCATTGATATACCTTGAAGTGAAGTACACACAACATGTGCTGAAGAACAGATTATGACTAAGTAAACATCTATCTTGAAAATGCCATTCATCAAATTTAAATTGCTGTTCTGTCGTCTTGTACTTTTTTATGATGGAGGAAGTCTCACATGCTCTGTTCTTCAGTTTATTAAAACATGATCCTGAGTGAAGTTTCTGTGAATTAGCAACAAAAAAATCCTGGGAAGATGAATAAGAAATTAAAGACAAATGTTCTAACAAAAAAAAAAAATTAAAAGGCTCTAAGAAAAATATCTTTGCTATCTCCAACTATTTTGCAGTGTTTTGAGGCTATCAAATTCACTAGCTGTCTAGTCATTTAGCATCTGAAAGTTCCAGGAAAGAACCTACCACCTTACCACCCACATCGACCCACCTCCTCACAGTCCATAAGAGGTGAACAGCCTTTCTGATCTTGTACTCAGGTGCTGTTTCAGAGGAACTCCCAAAAGATCTTCAAAGGTACAAAGCACATTATGCTTTAAATTCCAGCCCAACTATAATGCAGACTCACCCTCTACCCATCTGCACATACATTCGCACAGCAATGCAGAGAAATACACTCTCAAAACTCCTAGTTAGAAGGGAGGAATTTTCTTTTCTACAAATTTCTATAGCATCTTCTGTGAAGTACGCAAACTCAAAACTTTAGGACCTTAGAGCAAAATCACTAAAAAATAATCAGAAAACTGTTTGTTCTGCACAGTTGATGCACTCAGTATTTTGGATTATATAAAAGGTTGCTGTAATACAATCTCAATACAGTACCTCAGCTGTGAGGAAGATTTACTCAGATGAATCTTGGAGAAACAGAAGAACACATAAAAAAGACATAAGGATTTATCCTTCCAGATGTTTTGTATTCTATTGCCTTGAAGGACCACTTAATAGCTGAACTGAGTCTGCCTCTTACCATGCTTAAAGGCAAACCTATACCCCTGAGAAAAGGCCCAGGAAAGCCTACAGCAAGGTGAAAGTTCAGAATTCAATCAGGTATATCAATCAAAACCTGAGCAAAGGCCCAGAAAAGCTTATAGCAAGGTAGAAGTTCAGAATTCAATCAGATACATCAATCAAAGTGGTCCAGAATGGTGCTGCATATTAACGTCAATTTAGAACAATGGCAGTAAAGTCATGATCATTGCTTCCTCCTCCACACAGAAACATATGTACTTACTACAGAGCAGAATGGAGGCATAAGAAAATTACTTCCTCCACCAATATACCACAGCAACTATCACCAAAAGCACAATGAGCTGCTTTCCTTTCTGTTCTACAGCACATGTATCCAGTAACACAGCTCTTGCTTGGCACTACTGCACCTACCTAAATGCTGCGATTGGACAAGGTAGTCAAAACATCCAGTTTATACACACAGCTGTGATGGCATGCCATAAACTAAAAGAAGAAATAGGCTGCAAATCTACACCTCTGGCAGAAAACGTGACCTCCTTCCTGCTTTCTTTTTGAGTAATCAATGCCAAATCATGTTTGGGACTCTCAAACACAAATTAAACTACATGTTGGCCACTGCTTAAGACAGTTTAATGTAAGGGATTTCTGCCTTCTTTCAATGACAGCAGATTCATGACAGATACCATACAAAGGCCACAAGAGAAAAAGAAATTAAATAAGAAATAATCCAAAACATTGGCTAGATTTGCAGTTGTTTGAAAAAGTAAGGAGTTCACAAGAGTATTTTGTGCCCTTATCTCCAGGTGGAATAAAACCTCCTCTACTTCCACCTGCACTGGTACCACAACTTTCTTTCTAAACACACCAAAAAGCTCAGTGTGTGCTGCAAGGTGTAAACTGAACTAAGATTTAACTATCACACTAAACTATCATCCCATCTAACTTCTGCTAAACTAGTAACTGCCGATTTAATGCACAACTGAACTACATTGGTTACTACTGAATTTACACACCAAGTAAGATTACTTTAAGTGCTCCTACATTATGTGATGGAAGGTATTTTAACTTTTTCTTGCTATTGGAAAGATTTTAAATAGTGCCATTCAGCTTTGAATTCATTCAATAGCCTACAGATGCTTTTTGAATAGCAATGTTTTGAACACAAGAGTTTTGAGGCACAGTCCTGAATATGACCCCTCTGTGTAATGTTGGCCTGTGTTACCTAGATACATGCTCAGAAAGGTGGGTGCACTTCTACAACTTCCAAATTAGTTCTTTTTAATAAGTAAACCCATTTAAAAGTAGAAAAACAGACAGACAAACAAAAAGGATACGCAGTTCCTCTGATGCGCTTGATTTTTCCAGGGTCTGTGAACTGAACAGGCTGCAAGACCTTTCTCACTGGGCAAGAAAATAGTATCTCTCCACCCCCTTTGGGAGGCATTCCTCTTCGATTGATCTAGAACAAATAACGGAGGAAAAAAAACAGGTTAGAAAATAGTACAAAGAATGTACTTATACACCTCAGAATTACGCTTTTATTTCTCAGAGAATAAAATGTTTTAAGTAGGGGCATTTTGTGAATACAGGCAAGAAAACCACATCCTAAAAGCAGAAATGGATTTTGCATCAAAACTAAAAGCAGGCATTGATTTCTTTGTTCCTCTCAAGTAAAGTAAAGCATGGCTTCTCAATAGGAAACAGTGCAAAACCAAACAAAAACATCTTTACTAAAACAACCTTGTCTTAAGTCTTGTCTCTAGTAGCAGATTGCACCTCGCTGCTGAGGAGACAAGAACTATTTGATTTGAGCTCAGCTGATTACAGCATGGTGCTGATAATGCCAAGGTCGTGGCTTTGATTCCCATATGGAACATTCACTTAAGATTTGGACTTGATGATCCTTACAGGTCCTTTCCAACTCAGAATATTCTGTATGTGAGGGACTAGAATGAACTCATTCCCACTAACAAGTCTGTCTAGCCTGACCCAGTCCCACCATTCCAAGCCAAGGATGGAGCTGGGACATGGGCCAGTGAGTGGGTCTGGGCAGGGAGGCCCACAGCCAGACAGGGCAGGGCTGTGGCCAGCTGAAGGCCAGCCCTGCTGCAGGGTCACAGGAGCAGAGGCTGACAGTGCCAGGACAATGACATGGGCACTTGGGCTGTGGGCAGGATGGGGTTGAGGGGTAACCTTTGCAGAGCAAGGCACCAGCAGGCCCCAGTAGTGCAGCCAGACCCCTCACACATTTCTCCCACCTAAAAGAAACCCAAATGTTGTTTTGTATCCAGATTTACTGGGTCTCTGAAGACTGTAGTCTTCAAGAAAAACTTCTTTCCTCTGTTTTCCAAACTGGAGACAAACCTCAATGACCCAAACACAGATTCAGCTCTCCTACAGGTGAAACAGGTTAATGATACCGTTTTTAATTCTTAGCCCCAAGCATGGGGCAGAATGAACAAGTAGAAATAAAAAGATAATAAATGAACTGAAAAGCAACAAAAAGCAAAAAGATTTCTAACTCTTCTTTGGAGACTCAGGAAAGTCACTACTTTCTCCTTACCCTATCACTGTGTGGCTCATAGCCACAACGAATTATCTGTTAGAGACAGAAACCCACAGCAAGAACATGGTCCCAGGCTTTTATGAAATTATGCAGGAGCATAATTTCAACACATGCTTGAAAAGAAAGGAACAAACTGTCTTACCTTGATTTCCAGACTTTCACCATCAATTCCAAACTTCTTCAGAAGGGGTAGAGCTGTTGCCTTAAGGACATCAACCTATGTGGAACACAGAATTTTAAGAACAGACTTTCTATTGGAAGTTAGGTTAGTCAGTAATTTAAAAAATCACTGAATTATGAGGTGACTAACAGAGACAAGTCTTCTTCATAGAAGGTATTTTATGGGAAAACATGGGAATGCAGCACAGAGAGCTTAATCTAGTTAGCCTACCACAATACATCATTATTTAAAAAAAATTCCTAGAACAAATTACTGGCAGATAGAATTTCCTATTCTGGCTTTCTTCCTCAGCCTGATTTTGAGTACCATTATGTAAAACACAGTACTTATTTCTCTGAACAGTGAAACATTTCTCTGAACATTCCTACGTTATTGAGTAAATAATATTCTTCTGTTATTACTAAAAAATTCCTATAGCTAAACAAATTAATGCAAGGACCACTGCATTATTTCAATCATCACTGCAAAAGCATGCCCTTGATTTGGCAGAAAGATCATTCTATCAACAACTTCTTTTTACCTGTTTCTAAGAAGCAGAAGCTTATAGGTAGCTTCTATTGAAGCACTTAAAAGAATCTGAAGAGGGTAACACATCATCAGTGTATTCCCTTTTAAGCCAGGTGCTCACCAGGTCCAGGTCTGAACAGAATTATCCTTGCCATTGCTCTTCCTAATTCCTAAGACTACAGGGATTGCTCTCTTTTTCCATCTTCCAAAACTTCAGTAGTGTTGCCAAACATGATATAAATTATTTAGCAGTGCAACAACACAGGGAGTTACCCAAGACAAATAGCTGTGGAGAGACAGGATCAGGACAGCATGACCAAAGAAAAGATAAACACAGATGAAGGAAACAGTCATGAGGTAGACAGCACTTGAGAAGGCAGACAAAAAGCACCCTCTTTCCCATGCCTTTAGCCAAAATTCATAATTCTTGAATTTCATCTTCTCTGCTTTGAAGAGAGCGCAAGCCACTGACAAAATTGCAGCACATATCTCACCCAGAAATCTGTGAACGTTTTGTTGGTGGTACCTGAGGAGCTATGAGTGTATGTTGTAGTTCTCAAATCCTGATCGACAATATATCTCCTTTTTTACAGAAAGACATTTGGTGGTGTTTTTAGTATCAATATTTGAATGTCTACATTAAAATAAACAAAACTGCAAGCCAAGCCAATGCTTAACTTCTTTTAACTTAAAAAGTTTACGGTTTTTTAAAGCCAGGCTACCTTGCTTTGGCCCTTCAATAGTATTCGTTAACTATACAAATTTGACTTTTGGAGTAAAGCCTTTACTAACATGCATGTGCACAAGCATGTGAATACCACTGGCAGAAATCTCAACAAGCTGATCTGGTTCAAATTAAAATTACACAATGTTTCTTCCTCCTTCTCATGAAACAAAACATACCAGTAAAAAATAAAAACTTTACTGTGTAGGTTAAGAACTCAAAAAACTTCAAGACTACTTGTAGTTTTCAATCCTCAGAAAAATTCCAGGCATAATACTTAGAGGTACCAGACAGACAAATAATAAGACTGACTGTTCCAATTTTGCTGCCTAAACAGAGGAGGCAATCAGCAGTATTTGAAGAATGGGAAAAGGCTGTTCTGCCTCCCAGGCAAGCAGGGAGTTGTGCAGGATGTGAAGCAGTTCACTGAAAATTACAAAACAGCAGCTGAACTGAGCTGTAAACCCATTTTTCTATCCTTTTGCCTATCCTCAGCCATAAACCCCATCCCTTAGCTCCCCTTGGAGGGCAGTTATTCCATTTCTAGAACAGACAGCATAACACCAAGTTGCACCTAAACAGATGCATCATACAACTGATGGTATACCTCACCACAAATGACAACATTCTAAGTCACATAAATATTGCTTATTTGCGAAGTTGTGTAAATGCAAATCACTTATCACTTCCCTTTAAATAAATCTACAGTAGCTAAGAAAAAGGTAGAAAAGTAATTTTAAGAATCCCTTATCCAGTCCAAAGATATTAAAAAAAAAATCAAACATTGAAATAGAGAGCCTGCAGCACATGGATACCTGAGAAAGGGAAAAGCACCAGTTGGCCTGTATATCCATTGGCATTGCACTTACCATTGAGCCCACCTAACATACGGTGTTATGTTTCACAAAAAAGGGCCTAGACTGGGAGAAGGGGAAGGGGAAAATCAGAGTTTAACAGGGAAGCAAGAACCGTGGGAAGAAAACTCAGCAGGAAAAACTGCTTGTTTTCTACAGACAACTGTTGAATTCTGATTAAGTTTGACAATTACTGCTCCTAAGCTAAAATTTCACATACTAGTCTCATGTCAGCATGACAGTCATTTGAACTCAAAGCCCCCATGGTATAGCTGTAAAAAACTTTAACATGTGGAAACACAAACATCAAGAATGATTACTCTCAAACAGGGTACTGCAGCTATATCTAAATGTCAGAATAACAATACATAGAGAAGGAAAGGAAATAGGAGCTATCAATTGCATGCCACCTCCATTCCCTTCAAAAAGGCACCTTACAAAGGGCATCCTCTGTATACATAATCATTAGACAGAGAAACTTTAAACTGCCTTAACCCAGTCCCACATGATTGGTCCCACAAGCTACCCAGGGTCAGATCTTGCCAGTGGCAGCACAGGAAAACACATTGCAGGTGTAGACTGCAATGAATAGTCCAGGCTGGTATTCCAAAGGCTTATCTCTTCTTGACAAGTGAGAGCAAGTAGTATTCCTTTCACCCATTCAGGATGTATCACTCACACAGTAATACTGTGCAGTATTATCATACAATCATAGAATGTTTTAGGGTTGGAAGGGACCTTAAAGATCACGTAGTTCCACTTGCCCCTGCCATGGGCAGGGACGCCTCCCACTAGACCAGGTCCCTGTCCAACCTGGCTTTGAACACTGCCAGGGGTTGTGGCATTCACAACTTCTCAGGCTGATTTGTTCCAGTGTTTAATGAGGCACCAAATAATATGGATATTAATAATGTCAGCACAGTCCCACTTGGAACTAGTGCATGTTCAGTGGCCACGGTACTCTTTAGGAGTTATGCCAGTTGTCAAAGAGCTTTGCACTGGGCCCTGTTGGAGGGCTATAAATGTATGTAAACAAACACCACAGTAAACACATGCTCTTATACTCCAGGAACGCAGCCTGACCTGTGCCTCACTGAACTCAGTTGAAGTTTTCCTTCTACCAGATGTCCTTTAGAAACTCTTCCTCTCACCTGAATCTCTTCTACTCTCCTCACAGCAGGAGAGCCACCATATTCCCTTGCACGCACCTGACAAGGATGTCTCTGGTGAAAACTCAAACGACATAGCAATCACATCCCACAAATACTTCTGTGTAAATGGCTGTGTAAAAGCCAAGATATCAGTGCTGAAAGCAGACTTCACAAAGCCCAGTGGGTCAGCCTACTTGTTCACTGCCACCATGAGAGAAAGGTCACAGTCCCCTGGTCGCACACATATTTCTGCTACTTGCCTCCCACTGGCTACAGTTCTTCAAAAACTGCTCCAGTGCAGATTCCCCATGAGTTCACAAGTCCTGCCAGCAAACCTGCTCCAGCATAGGCTCCTCTCTCCACAGGCCTGCAGGTCCTGCCAGGATTCTGCTCCAGTGCAGGCTTCCCATGGGTTCATAGCCACATTCAGGCATCCACCTGCTCCACCTGCAGCGTGGGGCCCTGCACTGGCTGCAGGTGGTCGTATGCTTTGCTGTTGGCATCTATGGGTGGCAGGAGGACAGCTCCCTCCCCATGGTCTTCATTATGGGCTACAGGGGAATCTCTGCTCCAGTGCATAGAACTCCTCCCATTTTTCACTGACCCTGCTCTCTCCAGGGCTGTTTCTCTCACGCATTCTCACTCTTCTCTCCAGTTCCAGATTATTCCACTGTTCCACCCCCTCACTCTTCCTCCTTAAAGCTGTTACCCCCTCACTCTTCCTCCTTAAAGCTGTTACCCGAGCAGTGCTACCACCATCACTGATGGGCTCAGACTTGGCCAGCAGTGAGTCTGTTTTGGAGCCAGCCAACGTGGCCTCTGCCAGATGAAGGTGAAACTTTGGTCAGCTTCTAACAGAAGCCACAGTCTGTAGCATCCCAGCTCACAAAATCCAGCCATGCAAATCCAATACAACCTACTAGGTTGAAATAGAAAGGTTGCTACATGAAGAGCAGCAGGTAAAACACCTAAGCTTCCACACTGTAGTCACACTGGTTTGCCTTTCCACCTTTGGAAAGCAGGAAGCATACAGATAGATAAATTCAAGCACCTCTTTTTGGGCAAGCATATGTAATAACTGTTCACTGAGTTTATATACACCCTCTGTCTACTGAAAAATAAAAACCAAAATCGATTTAAAACCAAGTTTCCATTTACGTAAGCATACAAATAAATTAGGGTAACACTTAAATTTGTGCTTTTAGTCTCAGAAACCAGCAGAGACATATGTTATACCAAACAACTTGTAGAAGTCTTCTAAGTACCTTATTGGTGTGCACCAGGATTAATGTTTACTCAGGCAAGTTAAACAGACATAAGCCAGGGTGAAACCAATTTTAGGACCTGGTATTCAGTTACAACCACTTAACAGCAAGCAAGCATGAGCTGAGTCACAGTAACTGAAGTTGTTACTGTTGTCACTAAGAACTAAAACGTAGTCTCTACTATAGCACAATGAACTTAAGATGTAACTCTTTACATGCATTTGATTTACATTCAGCATACAGAGCTTGGGAGTCAGCTGATGTATGCCAACTCACTTGTCTAAATTTTGACAACAGCAAGCACCCTTCAAGAACAAAATGGCCTTAATTCTTGCACCCATTTGAACTAAAACAGTTTAATCTCAGGCCCATGCAACTGATGCCCAAAAGGAGGTAATTCCCAGAATCAAGACTCTATTGTTTAGATGAGTGTCCAAATTTACTTGAAAGTAATATGAACATTGGACTACTCTTCATCTCCAGATTACTGCAAGAATTTCTCCATTGTGATTAAACAGTCAACAAAAAAGGACTTCTTTGATTCTTAATACTTACAATAAGTACTTTTAATCACTATGACTGAAAGGGTAGCAAAAAATACTTCCTCTTTTTTTCTAATAGTGCTGTGTACAACCCACTTTGATCATCCCTTGAGTCATGGGGATGTCTCACAGAGCCACAGGTGAGAGAGTAAGATTTTTAAATGAACAGAGAAACACAGCTGAAAAGTCATAAATTCGAGCAGGACTCAGGTGCTCCTGTACTATCTGCAGTTACACTTCACAGGTATTTGTATTCATTTAAACTGGTTACATTTTCAGATTACAATGTGTCCTTAATTTACTCAGAGGAAAACAGGCAGTGTCCAATCACCATTCAAAAAGTAAAGAGTAATGCTGTTCTCTAAAAGTAGAAGTTTATGTTTGGAGTTTTTGGAGAAAAATAAATATAGCGTGTGACCACTAATCATTTCTTCAGCATTCTGATCACGTCTCCCACAGCTCATTTCTGTAACAACACTGGTACAAAACAAAGGACTGCAGATAAGTAATAGAAACTAAGGCAAGCGTTTCATAGCCATTTCACCTACCAGACTTTCTGGCATGTTTCTGAAGAATCAGAGAGTTATTTCATATTTTTGGTACTGTGATTGCCTAATCACCATGTGACTCCAGTTTCTAATAGAAAGAAGGCTTGAAGCAGCAGTAGTATGAACTATGTCCAGAACCCAACAGAAGAGAAAGATTCCTTCCTCTCATATTTTGAAGACACTTTCTTCTTTATAGAGTAAATACAAGTGTGGGGCAAGAGAAATAATCCATTGAAATTTTAAGAGAAGAGAAGAACCAAACCTGTGTTAGGGCCTCACAATGCATTTAAAAGGAGTTTGCAGGGGAAAAGACAGAAGCCACACAGAACTGAAAGTCAGCTCAGGGGGATTACAAACTGAAGTTCAGAGTGTGATACACTCTAGTTTAGCAGGTGCTTCTTTGACTCAGCGAGTTTACTAATGCAGCAACAATGGACACTTCTGGATGTGAGGGATGCTAAAAATTCAACATGTTTTAGACACTTCTTCCCAATCTTGTTATTTTAGGGGGACAAAAAATCCTTCTCTGATACTTAAACTTTATTACTTACCGAAGGATCTACTTGATCATTTGTTACTCCCCTCAAGACAATCTTCAATGGATGCTTCATGAAAGGTGCCAAGCAGAGCAGACTTTCCAAGTAATAGCCAATACCACGGCTGGGGCTGCAGTCATGTTCCAGTGAGCCTCCGTACAGGAGACCAGGCTGATAGTACAAGGTCGTACCTGGGGAGCAAACCAAATGAGAGCACTGTAAAACACTGGCCATTAAAACAGCACAAAAATACTTTGCAACAACATATGAGGCAAATTGAAGACAGGAGACTATATGGAAGGCTAAAGCACTTCCAGCACACTATTTACATGTCTGCAGCTAATAAATGGGTCAACACATGAGTATCTGTCTGTCCTGCACACTACTTTCTTCCTTTCCCCTCCCCCTTAAACCAAGGATCTCTTACCAATCTCCAAAATGCTGATATAAGCAATTATTATTCTCCACAGAAGCTAAACCTTCATCAGTCTTGGCATATTTGATGCTAATTCATTCGCTTTACTTACCAACTAAAGATCATTACAACCCTTAAAAAACCCAAAACCTCACACCAGGTGAGTCTGAGGTTTCACATGAAATGCTTTTCACTCTAATCAAACTCTTTTCTAAGCATGAATAAGCAGGCAGTCTGGCTAAGAAGTTTGCCTCTGTAGAGGATAAATCTTCTTTTTCTTCTACAAAAATCAATTCTGGTACAGAGAAACCTTGCCCACTGTGAAATGCTGCATACCTAACAAAATACTAATTTTACTAAATTTCTTGGGCAATAGACCTTCCTTAGCTCCCTGCGTTATGGTAGAGCATTGACCTTCTGGCATGTGATCAATTAATACAAAACTTGTCAACTTTGTTATTTCTGATCTTCTCAGTCAATCTTACCTGAACACCTACCTCTATCAAGACAAGACTTCCATTCTACTGCAGAAACTGATAAATCCTGGAGACCAAGCAGAAAAAACCAGATCTCACCTGTTTGGTTTATTTCAATCCTTGAGCCATTGGTCACTTTGTCAATCAGGCGAATAAAACTTGCTTCAAAATCTAAGGAGTAGAGCACAGACAGAATTGTAAAGTTTCTTAGAAGTTCAACACCTTGCCTGTGCTTTTTTTTACCTTTTCCTGCCTTCCATGACAGTAAGGCTACTCTCACTCTTCAAGTTGTGCTGTAATGCCACCACATGTGAAAAGGCAATTCTCTGTAAAAACAGAGATGTTAACATGAGCCTCCACACTTATAGGTATCTCAAATCAATTGAGATGCCCTCAGATGCAGCAGCTAGACTAGTCACACAGCACATAATAAAAGTGGATGTTTCTGACCACAGTGGCTTGAGGGATTGCTCTTGTCCAGGACAAAACCTTTGACAATTTACATTGTAAGTCAGTACAAAGCAAAACAGACAAATCATAGCAAACAGGACCCCATATACTGAAGCTTGACAAGCTAATAACAGCTTCACATTATTCTCTGTAAAAGTGTTAGCTTAAAAGAAGGGGACGTTTAGATGTGAAGTGCTGCTGCTGCATATCTGTTCCACAAACATAATTAGTTGTTTGCAGACTCTAAAATTTTCCATTTCCAAAACAGTTTTGCACATACTTAGGGTAGAGAGCCACAAGTCATCCCACTGCCTCTTTTCTTGCTTACTGTGTTCACTATACCGTAGCAGTTTGTGTGGAAATGATTCCTCAGTTTCTCTCAATTGTGTGGACTCTCACCCAGAGACAAAGAAAAGGACAAGCAGATTTAACCCAACCTAAGTCCAAAAGTACCAACCAACCATAACCAAAAAGGAAATAACACACACCAAAATAAACAAACAAATAAAACACCCCAAAAACAAAACGAAACCAAAACAGAAACACCTGAAAAAAGCCATCCCAGGAAGAATATGCTAGTATTCTAATGCTAGTATCCCAATACAGTACAGGCTCAGTATCAAGGAAGATAGGTGAATATATGCAGAATTCAAAACCCAGTTAGTTTTAAGAGCCAACAGCATCTGCATAATTGTTTGTAGGCTGCAGAACTCGCTTAGCAATAATCCTGTGTTACTTCTTACACAGTAATCAGGTTTTTCTTTCTCAATGTGATTCTAGGATGTAATAGATATTTAAACCACAGAGCTACCTGCAGAATTTACAGTTTGTCAATATTTGCATAATATGATTGATGCCTCAGTCACACAGTACTGGTTCTGCTCTCTTTCTAAACTATGACAGCTTATATGCTTACAAAGTTTATATCACTTTATAAGCACTGGGGCATCTTCCAGTGCAAGAGTGCATGTGAGCACACATTTCACTCTTGGAGAACACCAGTTGCAGTTTACAAAAGCTCTAGTCATGAAAAACAAAAGAGCTGCATGCTGAATTATCAACACAAATCAGGATTTATTCTTATTATTTTTCTGTTACAGTTATAGTTTACACTTGAACCCGTACTTAAAAAGTAAATTCAAACACTCTTTAAAAAAACATGGCAATAGCTACAAACTTCATCACCACCAAATGCTCCACAGTGATAATAAATACTTTGGATCGTGGTAAATGTTAAGTCAAGCACACAAGAATGCTTTGGCAGTTTTTGAGTAGAATTTTTAGCTACGCACCCAAGGCTCCTCAGGAGACAGAGAAGTATCTACCCCTGTTCTGAACTTTATAACAGGGGGTTATAAAGTTCAGAACAGGGGTAGATACTCCTTGCCCAAAAAATAACTGTTTCTTCCTCAAACTCTGTCCTATGTTTTATTACTTCAGTTATGATGGAATTCATCCTGGGATGCCAAAGGCTTTATACGAGAATGACGATGATACTCCCTAAGGAAGACTTCCCTTAAACAAAACTGCAGAAATGAGAATAAATTATTTCACCTCTTTCACCTTTCCTGCTTCGGCAAACCCTGACAAAAATCAAAACATAAAACGTGACCTATTCAAAGTGCATGAACGTGAGCTCCCACCAGCACAGGGAGCACACGACGCTTGGGCACGGGCTCGCGGCAGGAACGATGGCCCAAGAGACAGGGAATTAATTCTGCAATCCCGACTGCCAAGGCACCGTCACGGGAACGAGAACCAGCTCCGGGGCTGTGGAGAGGCTCCCGCACACGCAGCGAGCCGGTCAGAGCCCCGCCGGGCGCGGAGCGAACGGCGCTGCCCCGCGGGGCGGGACGGGCGGCCCGGCAGAGCAACACCAGCCCCGTCCCACCGGGGCGGCCCGGCAGGGCAGCGCCAGCCCGGCAGCCAGCCCCGGCCCTTGATGGCCCGCTCTGAAGAAAAGGCGTGACCCGCGAAGGCAGCGCTGCCGAGCCGAGCCGAGCCGAGCCGGCGGGACGGAGATAGTACTGTCCCGTTCCCCTCTCCCCGCCCGCCGGGCAGCGAGGGAGGCTACGGCAGGAGCCGGCGGGTGTGTGACAGCCCCCCTGCTCCGGCCTGCTTCACTGGCCCTGCCGCTCCCGCGCCTTCTCCTCCTCTCCCCCAAGCCCCGCAACCCACGTGTGACAGCTACACCCGAGATGGCTGCGCGGGCGCTCAGGGGAGAGCGGATCCACGGGAAGACACCGGGACTCAGCTGGGTCCCTACTCCTCGGTGGGGCCCGCCCAGATGCAGCCCGGGCTGTCCCAGCTCCCAGTGGGGGTCTGCCCCTGCCCGGCAGCAGGTCCCGGGCACAGCCGGAGCTCCGCCGCCCCCCGACCTCCTGCCCCGCGGCCGCCGGTGCCGCCGCTCACCGCGGAGGCCGGGGTCCTCCTCCTTGGCACGGATCTTGCGGATCTTCAGCGGGCGGCCGCTGAGCGTGGCCAGCACCAGGCGCTGCCGCAGGAAGTTGCATCCCGTGTAGCTGAGGCACTGCGCCTCGCCCGCCGCGCCGCCCGCCATCCCGCTGCCCACGTGGTTGGGAACAGGAAGCGCTGGGACAGCGGCGGGGGCAAAGGGCAGGGGGCGGGCAGGGCTCGCACCGCCCCCCGTGCTCCGCGCTCCGCGCTCGGCGGCGGGCCCGTGGCGGCAGGGCCGGGCTGAGTTTGTCGCGGCACGGGTGGCAGCCTCTGCCTTTTCCTCTGCTCTCCCAGCCTGCGTGTTTTCAGTTGAAACTTAAGGAGTGTGGAACTGTCGGGAGATGTGTCTAACCGGAGCCCGGCCCGCTGCTCCTCCGGGTGAGGTGGGCTCTCCTTCGGCGGGCGGGTAAGGACGGTCCAGAGCGGAACGTGGTGCCCGCACAAGGGTACTGCCCCCACATCCAAATGAGTCGGTTTCTGGGAACATGTTCCTTAGGCAGTACTTTTCAGTAATTTATTTCCTACTTTAAGGAAAACGATGGAGGAATGAGTCCTGCTCGCCGTCCTTGGGACAGCCTGTTTGCTTAATGATAGTGACAGAGTCCCGGTGTCCTGAAGGAGGAGACCGACTAAAGCTTTCAGTCTCTTACTTTAAGAGAAACATCGATTACAGTGGAGGTGTGACAATGTTAATTGTTAGGCTACACTTATGTGCCCATGAAAAGAAGTTTATTGGAATGGAATACTCTAGTTGTAGGGGATGTACAAGAATCATTTAGCCCAACTGCTTCACTTCAGGGCTGACCCAAAGGTAAAGCAGGCTCTTAAAGGCTCTGTCCAAATGCCCCTTACACATTGATAGGCTCAGGGCATCATCAAGCTTGACCACCCTCTCTGTAAAGAAATGCTTCCTAATGGCGAGTCTGAACCTCCCCTGGTGCAGCTTTGAACTATTCCCACACTGGGTCCCAGGGAGAAGAGATCAGCACCTCCCTCCCCACTTCCCCTCCTCAGGAAGCTGTAGAGAGCAAGGAGGTTGCCCCTCAGCTGCTTTTCTCCCGACTAGACAAGCCCTAAGCCCTTAGCAGCCCCTCACAGGCCATGGTGTCTAGTCCTTCCACCAGACACCTTCTTGCCCTTCTCCAGACACCTTCCAGGACCTTCCCATGGTTCTGAAATGGTGGAGCCCAGAGCTGCACCCAGCACTGCACAGGAGGCCCTGCCCTAACACTGGACACAGAGGGACAGTCACCCCTTTAGACTATCACGGCTGGTGCACCCAGCATGGGGTTTGCTGTGCCAGGCTGGCATTTGCTGCACCCAGCATGGGGTTTGCTGCTCTCAGGATGGGGTTTGCTGCACTCAGGACGGGGTTAGCTGCTCTCAGGATGGGGTTTGCTGTGCCCAGGCTGGCATTTGCTGCACCCAGCATGGGGTTTGCTGCTCTCAGGATGGGGTTTGCTGCACTCAGGACGGGGTTAGCTGCTCTCAGGATGGGGTTTGCTGTGCCCAGGCTGGCATTTGCTGCACCCAGCATGGGGTTTGCTGTAGCCAGGCTGGGGTTTGTTGCAGCCAGGATGGGGTTTGTTGCAGCCAGATGGGGTTTGCTGTAGCCAGATGGGGTTTGCTGCACTCAGGACGGGGTTTGCTGCACTCAGGATGGGGTTAGCTGCACTCAGGATGGGGTTTGCTGCACTCAGGATGGGGTTTGCTGCTCTCAGGCTGGGGTTTGCTGCACTCAGGATGGGGTTTGCTGCTCTCAGGATGGGGTTTGCTGCACTCAGGCTGGGGTTAGCTGCACTCAGGATGGGGTTTGCTGCTCTCAGGATGGGGTTTGCTGCTCTCAGGATGGGGTTTGCTGCTCTCAGGATGGGGTTAGCTGCTCTCAGGATGGGGTTTGCTGCTCTCAGGATGGGGTTTGCTGTGCCCAGATGGGGTTTGCTGCCCCCCTGGCTGCCAGGGTACACTGCTGGCTGCCACAGAGCCTGCTGCCAACCAGCACCCCTAGAGCCCTCTCTGCAACCCCAGAGCCGCCCCTCTCCCAGTTTAGACTCGTGTGTGGCATTTCTCTATCCCAGGTGCAGAATCTGGTATTTTGAGTTGTCATTTTCATGTCACTGGTGATTGCCCAGTGCTCCACTCTATCTAGATCCCTCTCTCTGTAAGGCCTCTTGTCCTTCAGGAGAATCAGCAGCACCTTACACAGCTGTACAGCAAAAGTCAGACAATTTTCCTTACAAATGATAATACTTTTTATTTTACTAAATTGTTTTCCTGAGACTAAAAGTTCTTTTTGAAACCCATGATACACACACTTTACAGAAACTGAAGGAACTAAGCCATCTATTATTAGCTCCTTGCTGACTTTTGTGATCAACATGCATGAGGATTTTTGTTGTGTTGATACACTGGCCTGCAAGCTTTGTATCACAGAAAAGCAGAATGATTTAGTTTGGAAGGGATCTTTAAAGATCATCTAGTCAACCTCATGCTATGGGCAGGGACCAGGTTGCTAAAAGCCCCGTACAACCTTGTTTTCAACACTTAGAGGTCCCCATTGGGCATCCACAACTTCTGTCAGCAACTTGTGCCAGTGCCTCACCACCTTCACTGTAGAAAAATTTTTCCTTATGGCCAGAGTAAATCTACCCTCTTTCAGTTTAAAACTCCTGCCCTTTGTCCTGTCATTATTTCTAGGTAAAAATTCTGTCTCTGTCTCTCTGATAAGCTCCCTTAAATACTGAAAGACAGCAATGAGTGCTCACCAAGGCTCTTTCTTCTCCAGGCTGATCAATCTCAGCTCTTTCAGCCTTTCCTCAAGAAGAAATTATTCCAGCCCACCAATCATTTTTATGGCCTGCATCTACACTGACTGAATCAGGTCCATGTTGCAGAACCAGAGTCAGAATCACAGAATTGTTTAGGTTGGAAAATACCGTTGAGATCATCAAGTCCAACCTATGACCAAACATCACCTTGTTGCCTTGACCATGGCACTGAGTGCCACAGTCTTTTCTTAAAAAAATTCAGGGACAGTGACTCCACCACCTCCCTGGGCAGCACATTCCAATACCCAATCAGCCTTTTTGTGAAGAAATTCTCCTAATATCCAACCTAACTATTCCCTGGCACAGCTTAAGACTGTCCTCATGTCTTTCCTGAACTGAGGACTCCACAGCTGGATGCAAAAATCCAGATGGGGTCTCACATATGTGGAGTAGAAAAGGACAATCATGCCCCTTGACCAGATGGACACACTGCTCTTTATGCTCAAGTCCAATTTTTCACATACTGTATCCTAAATTTCTTCTCCACTTAATCCATTTACCACACAGACTGTGCAGATGCTGTGGATTTCCCAGACCCAGGTGCTGAGGCAAAAAATCAAACCCAGAAAAACTGTGCATCTAAATCAAAAGACCACATCTGTGTAGAAACAAAGCCTAAGAAATTTTATTAAAGGAAGCATGTTGAGAAATTTGTGGAAAATGAGGATCAAAAAATGGCAGCAGTTAAACAGCATTTGATCACATATGTGGTGCCCAAGATTTCTGAGATATGGGAAGAAATATCTAGAGCTATTCATGGTTCATGTGCAGATGAACCTCTCTGTATTTTTAGAAAAAGAGAGTTTTGTCATGGACAGTTTAGTGGAATCAAAGAATTGTAGCTTTCTGTGTGTAAGAAATTAGTTGCCAGTTACAGCTCTGATCTAGAATATAACAGAAAATAGGGTGGTGCTTGGGCAGCTTAAACTCTTTTCTGTTATGCACTGAGCAGAACTAGGAGAAGACTGAGTGTAAGGTAAAGAACATACATATCTTCCCAGAGCTAATAAATCTATGTCCAAACTTCACAAAAAAAATTTAAAACTTTCTTGATAAATCAGTGGTTTGTTTTCCTGTTTACAAACAATAAATTCAGTCAAGTCTCTGCATAATTCCTTTGGGTTTCAGAGTTTGGAGGGTATTTTGGAATTCCAGAACAAATAGTGCTAAACTCCATGATTAATGGAGAAGAAGTCTGGCACTTACTGTTTCCTATTTTCAGGGAACAACTTTGTGTTCTTTAATTTCCTTCACTCACAGGCCTTTTAGACCTAATTTCAGGGTAGTAGTTAAATAACAGTTTGCTGTGAGGTTGTGGATGTGGCATGTGATAGAAGATGAACACTCCCACTGAAATCAAGTGTCTTCTTCTGTGAAGACAGCTGTGTGAAAGGTTTTCAGGTGCTGCTGCTGGGACTATGTTTTTCACTGCATTGTCTGAACTCTGTGTCTTAGATTTGCATCAAAAATATCTAGTCAACTGCGTCTACTTTGAATGAACTCTTTTCTGTGGTTCATTTCTCTTCCTTTGTGTACTCCCCTGTGCTCCCACACATGTATTTTTAGTTGTGTCCATCCTGTCCTTCTTGTGTGACTTCCAATTACTTGCTATCATCTGTTAACAATTTGCAAGTATCTGCTTTATGTCAAGGCATGGGAAAACAAAACTGGGAGAACAAAACAGAAAACAGTCTTCCCCAAAAATTTTTCCATTGGTAGTCAGAATTTTCTCATGTAACTGAAATAAGATACCTCTGTAAAAAAATCACTGGCATATATATTCTGCTGGTATAATGTAAGTATCCTTATAATGAGAGCTCTATCTGTCATAAAAATACCCAGTGACATAAAGGAGGGGTTTTGTTTCCCTGGGAATGCTAGTAGCTTGTTGTGCTAGAAGTTCAAGGATTTCTGGGGTCAGGAAAATTATTTTTATCAACTGCCTAGAGGTGGCACAGAGAGACTGAGTGGCACCTCAGAGATATATACATGTCATCATGTGGGCAGCTGTTACAATTTAACCTCAAAATGTAAAGCTATTACTGGCTTACCTTAGTACTCAGGGAAATGTTAATTTTCATTTGATCAGTGGTTGGAGAACATAATAGTTTAATCACTTGGGATAAATAATACAGAAAATGTCATTACAGAAGCTTCAAAAAGAGATCTGCCTTCTGCTAATCTATGGGGGCTCCAAGAATGCAGAAAGATAACACTTTTCTCTGAATTTCTGTTGGTTTACATACCTCCCAAGACTTTTCACAGAGTCTCAGAAACACAGCTATGTAACTTCTCTTTTACTTGAACTTAATTTATTTTCCTATTTATGTTTACTTTGAGAGATTTCTAAACAATCTGTGATGAGTGCTTTTATAGGATTAAAATTACAAACTCCAAATACAGCTCAAAAGAACCACTGAGACAACAGAAATGTTTTCCAAATAATTAAAATTCTGTATTTGATTATTATCCACTTGTGACTTGAACAAAATATTGCCATTGCTCATAACAGGACATAAGCCTTGTACTGAGTTTCCAAGGCATCAGAACAGAAGCTAGTCAGATTTGCACTGTCTGAATGTTCTTTGAGCTGCTTGCAGCTTTGGTATGCTTCCTTTAATTGTGAGAGCAGTTTTGACAGGTTTTCTATGGGTAATTTATTTTTCTTGTATTTATTTTTTCTTTTCTTGGATGCAGACCTGGACCTGGACACATTTGGTTTAGCAAAAAAGACAAAGAAACTATCTAATAGAGGTGCAAGGTACTATATATATTAAAACTCAGATGTAATGTAGAGCTACAGACTAGTGAAGAAAAAGCAAGGTACAAAAGTATGTTAGCAAGCATACAAAAACTACTCCAAGTGAGCCCTGCAGGGATGAAGAAGAAACTGTCAACAGAAGCCTGGCATTCTTCCTGGTGAGGGAGTCCAGGTGCTGATGACTCACCATAACCCCACCACCCTCACCTGAGTGAGACCACCTTGGGGCCCAGGCAAAAAGGGGAGAGAGGTAAACACAACACTAGGAGAATGGGAAAAACTAAGAAGTGGAGCAATTAATTATTTCTATAATAAAGAATAAAACCTAATAATGGTAAGTTAGCATAAACTTTCTGTAATAATTAATAATTCTTGAATGACACTGTTAAAGTTTCAAATATGTTAATAGATTTTTCACTTTATAAATAATGTGTGTTTTAGCTTTGTCATAAATAAGCTTTGAGTGTACACAAGCTTGGTGTGCAGGCAATGAATTTCTGTCTGAAGAATACACATTTCCTAGGAAACTTAGAGTTTTGGAACAACCCATGCTATGTATAAGTGTCAATTTGCTATACTCAGCCATCTGGGAGGAATAATTCATTAGGCTTTTTACTAAAGGTAGGAGTGACACCAGAAAAATTATAGTGTTTTAGCCCTCTTTGCAATAAAACACTATTTAAATTCAAATAAAAAATCACAGCTCTACATTTTGGGTTTGTAAAGAGTTATGTCTTTGCTACTTTAGAGGACAGTTCAACAGCAACATTTCATCCTCTGTATTTCAACTTATATCTAATAAAAAAAAATCTGCTCCTCAAGTGTTCTTGATGGTATATATTTTTTGAGGGAGAATTTTCAGCTGTGTTGTGTATATATGTTAGCCTTCACTGGATAAGTATTTCATGCATTGTTTTAAAAAACATTATTAATGGGGTATCTTGTTTACAAATACAGCATCACAGCCTTATCCAGGTAGGAATCCAGATCTGTAGCCCAATCTGTGGACCAAAGCAAGGTCAGACTGGGTTGCTCAGGGCTTTATCTGGTTGTGTCTTAAAAATGTCAGGGAACTGAGTCTACTTAAATTCCACTGCCTGACTAAGTCCTACCACTCATCTTAATAAGCAGCCTGTCCCTGCCTTCTCAGTAACCTTCTCATGGGTGCTAGAAGGCTGCTGTAGGTACTCCTGAACCCTTCTTGTCTCCAGTTTGAACAAACATGGTTCCATCTGTCTGTGGCAGTATCTCTTCTCTATCCCCTGATCATCTTGGTCACTCTCTGCTAAACCTGCCCCAACTGATCAATGCCTGGTTTGTACTGGAGGGCCCAGTACTGGCCACAGCACACAGATGTGGGCTAAGAAGTGCCTAATACAAAGGGATAACCGTTTTCCCTGATGCAGTGGCTACCCTCCTGTTAATATGGCTCAGGATGTTAGTGTCCACATGCTGGACGGTGCTTAGCTGGCTGTAGGCTGGTTCTCCCCTGTCTTCTCCAGCAGAGTTTCTTCCTTGCTGGTCAGTTCCCAACAGCCTGCACTGTTGGAAGCAGTGTCCTGGATGCAGGACTTTGTACCTGCTCTAGCTGAATTTTGTCAGTGTCCTGCTTGGCCCCTTTCCCCATCTGTTGTTGCAGAGCTCCACCTCCTGCCCCTAAGCCCATGTGCTCAGGCCACATGGTTTGGTGTTACTCACAAAACTGATGAGGGTGCGCTCTCTCTCTTCTTCCAGAGTTATTCACAGACACTAGATAGAACAAGGCACCAGGACAGGCCCTGGAAATACATGCTCATTAACAGCTTTTGGTAGGGTACAAAACACTAAGCACTACACTTCTATTCCAGCCAGACTTAAGCCCATCGAATTGTCCACCCCTCCACCAAATGAGGCACAAAAATTATGTGGGAGACCATGTCATAGTACCATGTCCTGACAGCTAGGGTACTATGACTCCTTCCTCATGCAAGCCACCACTTCATTTTGATACAAAGTACAACACTTGGGAAGTAGTTACCCAACAGTACTAAAAGAATTCTGTATCAAACTCAGAAGAAAGGACTTATATCTCCAAGGAGCATACCTGACAGAAACTCTCCTGATGGTTTAAGGCTTAAAAAGCCTCTTCAAAGCATCTCTTATGTTTGAAAAAATGCTGAGTAATATGAAAGATTATTTATTAGTAAGAACATTTGGATTTGTTTGAAACAAGATTTTGATTACTAGTCAGTCACCATGAGGGTTACTTCTATACTCACTAAGTAAGAGCTAAGTTTTTAATTTATACCGGTACATTACATGTGTGAAAAAGATTAATCAGAATATAGTGCAAGTTGTGTTACATAAATATTGACTACTCTTTTAAGATGTGAATAATTAAGTCTGAATGAAGATGATGAAATGTCAGTTTCCAAACAATGTAATGAGGCTGTTAAAAAAACACTTGCATGTCTATAAATACAGAATAGCTGTATAAAGACTTGTATACAAACTAGTGAACCATTGACCCCATTTCTTCCATTATTTCCTTTTCCACTTCTGAGTATGTCACAACTACTCACAAAACTACTAGAGTGAGGTTTGGACTTCAGGAAAGATAGCCAAGGAAATGGGAACAATAATTTCTTTTACTACCTATTTTCTGTAATCTAAGTACCCACTTCAGTTCTGCAAAGGCCATAGGTTAGTAAGAACCTGTGTGTGTGGGAGAAGTGCCTTGCTATTCTCTTCCACCCCTTCCTCATGAATCTGTTATGAAGTTCAGAGAGGTTCTAAATAGTCTTTAACAAAGGGATTGTCTTAGCATTCCTGTCTAGATTTCTGAGCTGCTCAATAGGTCTGTAGAGAGGCAGAACCTCAGGCTTCCTTTTTAACAGGCAGATAAATTATTGCTGCTTTTTATGCATGGTGGCATTGTAGATTAGATTTAATGATCTCTCTGACAAGTCTAGTTATTTGCTGGATATATATTTCATACAATACCTTCCATTTTCCCATATATTTGCTTTAGGAAGATTTAGCAATACATTTTATGGACTTCTGCCATTCAGAAGTCTCTGAAGTGTGGAGCTTAAAATGAACTGTTTGGCTTCTAACATTTAATGGGCCTTTGCTGCCAAATTTTGTTTAAGACTGTGGTGCTTTGGCAGACTGAGGTGTTGCCCTGGGAACGCTGCTAAAGCCCCAAATGTTTAACTCTTGGTGTCCTAGTACAATCTGGAATAGAGGTACTATCATGTTCATTTTTGAAGGTTCACATTTCTCAGGGTAATGAGACTTATGCTCATAGTAAGCTCTATGAGCTAAGCCAGTGCCTTCCTACTTAATTGTTAAGGCAATTTATTTTATTGACTGAGGAGTTTGGGGGCTACATTCCTATCTCTTGGGGGCTACATTCCTATCTGTTTTAAAATACTAAACAGTCATTTGAATATTTTCTTACGGCTTTACTTGGTTCAGTGTAAAACTATTGAAATGAAACAATGTTTTAAACCAGGAAGTTGAATTTAATTGATATTTTGACTCTAGCTCTGCTTTCTGCTCACTTTTCCGTTGTGACCTTTCTGGTACAGTGATTGAGATCCATCAGCATCTCCAGAACCTTTAGCAGAAAGACCCACTTCTCCTGCTGTGGACATGACTGTGAACACTCAGGATATGGGACAATCTAATGTTTTGGCCAAAATATTGTGTTCTGATGTAACTGAGAATCACCAAATCATATCTGTGGGAAAGGACATCTTGGTGTTTGGAAGAACACTACCCAGAACAAGGACAACCTGCAGTTGTTCACATTCAAGTATCATAAACAAAACTCAGGCCCAGCTCATTAAAACGCAGCTGCCTGCTGCTAGACAGTGAGAGCTTATTTGTGAGAAATCAGCAAGAGCAGGGCTGTTGCATGAGGGTGAGGGAGCACAGCACAGTCAGCCACAGCCTCAAGGCACCTGGGCAGTGCAGTGACAGTGCCAGCAGCCAAGCAGGCATCAGGTGACAGCCAGGTAAGGAGCAAGTCCCAGTTCCGTTTGGGAAGTGCTGGAGTCACCATTTCTGGGGATACTTAAAAGGTGGGCTTGTGTCAGTTTGGGGCATGGTTTAGGGATGGACTGGCAAAGCTGGATTACCTGTTGGGCTCGGTGACCCTTAAGGTCTTTTCCAAACCAAACGACTCTTTGATTCTGTGTGTCTGAGGGAGGGCAGGGGCTGACGGCTTAGGGAGCAGCCAAAAGGGGCCTCCTGGGCAGCGGGGAAGCTGGTCATGGCCGGTTGAACATGATACCTAAATGCGGCCTGATGCGACGCTCTAAGACGCAATTTGCTTCATTTATCTTTTTATTATCGTTATGAATTTATCCCTCCCTCCCCCCGTGCACTTACGTAAAGGATCTTTCCTTCCTGCCCCTGATTGACAGCCAGAGAAGCTGCCGCCGCCGTTCCTGGGAAGGACCGGCCCGGGCCGGCCGGCGGGGCGAGGCGGCGCTCCCCGGGAAGGCGGCGCTCCTGCCGCGATCCTGCCGCGATCCTGCCGCGCCCCTGCGCGTCCGCGGCCGGAGCAGCGGGGACAGCGGGGACAGCATGGTGGCGCGGCCGCTGCTCCGCGCCGTCATCATGGGGCCGCCGGGCTCCGGGAAAGGCACCGTCTCCGCTCGGATTATCAAGCACTTCGGCGTGAAGCACCTCTCCAGCGGCGACCTGCTGAGGGACAACATGCAGAAAAAGACAGGTGGGCGCGGGGACGCGGGTGGGGACGTGTGCGCGGCGGCGACAACTCCTCCTCCTGTCCCCGTCCCGCGGGAACGGTCCCCAGGCAGCCCCGCGTGACACAGCTCCGCTCCCAAGGGAAGGGACGCACGCTCCCAACACGCGTTCCTGCCCTTCCCCTCCGAGAAGGGAGGGCGCTTCCTTAATGGGGTTTGCTGCTCTCCACCTCCGTGTGCCCGCCGCGCAGACAGAGGTGGGGTGACTTCACACGGCTCTTCTGGAGGCCAGAGGCCACCGAAGCGGGCCTCATATCGGCAGCCCTGGGTCCTCCACAGGCTGACACTTGCCAACCTCTTCATGAAAGTGGACGGGGTTGACCTGTTTTCGTTGTTTTCTTACACCTCATTGCTTCCTTGTCTTGGCTGCTTTTTGTAAGCACCCAGTGGTTTTTGTACGTGTTTCTAGTAGTTCTGATAGCTTCTCATGGTTTCTCCAGCTGGAAACATCTTAAAAGAGAAAAATATTCACATCTTCTAACAGTCAGGGCAAGAGGAGGGGTTTTGGACAATCAGACTTTTTTTGGATGTTCATTGGATGGCTAGAAGTAGGGGTGCCTAGAATTGTTAGCAGGTATTCCAAAATTACGCCTAGTCCTGAGCTGGCAGGCATAACATAGTGGTGCTTTAAAAAAAAAAACCAAAACAACGTGCAAAATTTTCAAACTGCATAGCTTTTAAAATTATTATTGTCTTATGAGTTCATATCATGCTTAGGTTTCAGCAAGGTCTGTGTTTACATACAGTGATGCTTATACTAGATAAATATACGAATTATTCTTGCTGAACAGGTCTAGCTTGGCCTCTGGCCTCAGTTGAGATACCACAGTCCCTCTCTCTGGTGGATTTTTGCAATGATGGAAGGTTCCCTCCTGACTTGCACATCTGTTTTTCTATATGGTGGGGTGAAAAACCTTGTAAGAACCATCTCAGGCTGTGTGTGATGAAGTGAGAGTATTGTTATTTCCAACAACTTCAAGCTGTAGAATATTCCATTCACTTTTAAGTATCACTGTAGTATTATGCCAAGGTAACTGGCAGTCTTAGTTTTGGAATACTCATAAGCATGTTTGAAGGTGAAGCAGCTGTGATGTGATTCCCACATCTTCACACAAACTTTGTTTACTCAGTAAGGATAATGACTTTGGTACAGTGACTGACTTTACTGTAGTTGATATTTTAGATACTCTAAGTTAAGAATTTGCGAGGAGCACACCTGTGTAGACAGACCTAATCATATTCATGCTATTTCTATTTGGTTTCTATAATATGTTTTTATTTACAGAGGGTCACAAAACTGTTCTGTTATGAACTTTCAGTGGAAGATGTGGTGGGTAGCCATTCCAAGATAACAAAGGAAATGTTATTTTACCAAGTGTTTTGAGGTTTAAAATGTTTACTAAATACTTTCGGTTTTGTGCAAGACCACAGAGTACCAGAATCATGCTAAAGGTTGTGTGGGAAGAGGAAATTTCCAAGTGGAAATACCATATTGCTTGAATTGAGGTGGGAGCCTGAAGTGATGCAGAGAAGTGATTACGCAAAGAATTCTAGGTGGGTTGGACAAATGAAGGACTATGAAGGAGAGCAAACATGTGAAATGGAAGTTTAGCAGAGACATTAAAATCCAAAATAAGGAAAGAAGTCAGTGGACATCTTAAGAGGTGAAGTTCACTGTAAATTAGCTACAGCAGAATTTACCAGAATCTGCTACAGAGTTGCTCATTCACTAGTAAACCCAGATGAAACTCTACAGTAATTTCATTGAAAGTCAGTCACTAGTTTCAGAAATGGTTCCCAGAGGGTTGAGATGAAGTATGAGGTAGGAGGACTAGGTAGTACACTGAAAATAGGAGAACAACTGAGAGGCAACTCAGACAGCCTAGACAAATTCAGTCAACACAAAGATCCAGGAGTTTTGACGACAACAGAAGAGTCCTGCAATTTCCAATTCTTTGGGAAATGAGTTACACTAAGATGGGCAGGTAAAGCCCTTGGAAAAATAGATGTAGCTAACAGAAGTTATATGGTGCAAATTTTCTATTTGCTGTTTTGTGAAAATGGGCGTTGTTGAAAAGTCCTGTTGAAGATGAGTGTCCTTATCATTCTGCAGTTATTATCATGTTCTTTTGGACAGTGGAGAGTCTGTGACCATTTCTCTAATGCTAAGGTAATTACTGTCTGGTTATGGCTAGAGCTTGACTGCTGTAATGTGGTTAGAACCTGCTGATCCTTTGTAAAGCCATGGGACGTGGATACCTGCCATCACCTACAAAGGAAAGAAACCTGTGTTACCTATAATTCTGAAGATTGCCATGCCTTTAGTGGTTTCAGACCCAACCTGAAGAAACCCAGAACTAAATAAAACCTACAAAACCCCATGAAATCCCACTCCCAATAGCAGGAATGGGGGGGCGGGGGGAACCAGCTCTGACCTAGTGTATATATGACTATTTGGGTATGGTTCTGCCTATTTTTTCCCCTCTGTAATAGCGACTTTCTAAATTACCTGAGTTCTGTAAAGGGAGGCAAAAGGCAGCATTTTTCAAGCTCTGTTGGTCTAATAATAGCTTGCCATGTTCTAAACCTTTCTGGGCCCAAAAACTCATGAATCTTTCCAAAGTAAGTTAGAATTGTTCCCTGTGAACCTTGTCTTGCAAATATTTTTTGATCATTGTGACTAAGCAATGCTGCAACATAAATCAGTAGCAGAGCCAAGCATCAAGTACACATTAAACTACCTAGACATGATTTATTCCTTCTCCCAACCCACTTTTTCAGGGTACATGGTTCAAAGCACACTAGAATAATAAAAAAAGGTATGAAGAAGGGAGGTAGGGAAGAGACACTTTGTACACAGACAGACTGTCATCTTCTTTCCAGTTTGTGATGTGCTGGAGGACTCAGGCACCACAGTCTGACTCTTTTCCATATAGTGAGCATGTTTTGAAGTCTGGACAAGGTGCACAGTGCCTATTTCTAAATGGTCTTTGTACTTTTCAAAGCCTGACTACAGATGTGAACAGGCAGTAAGGGAAAATTGTTCCTTTATTATTTTTTTTTCTCATCACCAAATGCAAGTCCTATTTGCATTATTTGGGGGCATGTACTGCTTTTCAGTTGCCTCATCTGAAGAAGGGCCTCTGTCCTGTTGCCCATTTCTTGCACTGAGTGATGTGACTGGCATTTATCATTGCTTTCTGCTCAAAGTGGTCATATCTGCGTGGGTATCTCCATCCATCCCATTTTCTCTTTAGTTTTCTGTAACTAGATCTTAACTGGTTGCAAGTAAAGGCTTCTGCAGACCCACAATAAAACCAGTCTAGCTGCAATTCTGGGTTACGTAACATAATTGGGTAATTGTTTTATAAGTGAAAGATATGGAAAATTTGTGCCTAGGACACAACGCAGGCAACTGAATTTCTTCCTGGCTATATGCATGATTTGGGTGAACTACAGCATGCTACTGCCTGCCATGTAGGAGCATAGTGTGATAGCTGGAATGACAATGCGTGGATGGAATTTTAGTAAGCCAGTGGGATAAATGACTGGTACTAAATGTTAGTCAGTTCCATGCGAAAATACTAGTGTCTGTGTACTTCCATAAATGGTGTACACTATCTATAAATGCCCTCTTGCCACTCTAGTAATCATAAAAATACATACCTGGCAAGCATGTCCCACTGCATACTGTCAAAGGCATTTATATTTATGTTTGTAATGAAGCCTAAGTGTAAGTTAATAACTAGCCACTAAGCTAAGAAAATAAACTTTCTTTACATGAAGTCTGAGGGCTGATATATTAATAAACTTGTATCCTTTCTATTTTTTATTTTGAAGACTCTTGGTTAGTGGCCTCTCCTCATTTTAGTTTTTGGAACTTCATATTTCAAATACATACTAGTAAATTTATTCAGAGGGTGTATGTTTTGCCCTACAGGTGGATCTAATTAATCTGATATGTATTTGTATGGTCAGATCCTAGTTGATCATCTGGATATTTTTTAATTTTGGTAAGCATACTGTCTGTCTTGTTTACAACTTTTCTCTGTCACCCGATCAAAACAATTTTTTTTTCAGGTTTGTGGCTTTTTCTCACTTGCTGGAGGTCAGAGATAGTGTAATGCAACTTTTACTTTTGCAGAAGTGGGAATCCTTGCCAAGTCCTACATTGACCAAGGGCAGCTTATTCCAGATCACATCATGACACAACTAATGCTGAATGAGATAAAAGGTTTAGACCAGTACAACTGGCTATTGGATGGTAAGTTATCATGTTGGATGTCACTATATATGGACAGAAAATCTGCTCTGGAAAACTTGGGACCGCTTTGGTTGCTGGTAGCCAGCTTGTTGTGAAACTTTCAGCAGATAGTCTGCCCCAGTTTCTTTGGCTGACAAATGCTTTGGACGTACCCTGCCCTCAGAACATTACAGGGATATTTAACTCATGTTAAAAAGGGTAGTTCAACACTCCAGAAAAATTTCAAAACTGGCACGCTGGTATTTTTTATGATAATTCATATGGTATTTCCCCATTAAAATAGGCATTGAGAAGTTTCTTTTTAGAATATTTTCTTATTAAAGTCCTTGGGGAATGGAAAACTTTTGAAGGATGAGGCTTTGGAATTATCTAAACAGCAAGGTAGGAATGTGATGCAGTAACAAGATAAGTATGGAAAAGTACTGCAGCAGTGTGGAGTGTAATCAAAACTATTGCTCAACTGCCCTAAGAGGTCTCCTTCATTTGCTGTTTGGTTCTGTTCTCCAGAGTGAACTGTTTTGCAGTTCTGCAGTGTAAGCTCATTGCTTCAGCATTCTTCCTAGAGAGAAAATGCATTTGCTGTTGTCTCATGAACTGGATGGCTCTTGTTATTCCAGCCCCCGAGAGAACAGTTGGATGCCCAGCACAAAAACAGTGTCTAGGCTGGATCCGTGTTTTTTCAGACTCTAGTCACAACCTGCCTCAGTACATAAAAAAGTTATTGGTGTAGCTTTCTATTTAGAGGGAGTGAAAAATCCACAGTGGCCTCTCTCCCTAAGTGCTTTATTATAGTTATATTTGTATAGTTGCTTCTACATACAGTGATATGTTCTCGTGGCTTTAGTCACAGCTGGGCTCCTTCCTGAGAGAAAGGCTTTATTCCCACAGTGAACAGTACAATGAAACCTACACCATAAAGCAAAGAATGGCAGATACTGGGTTTTTTTCCTTTAGTTTCAGGTCCCATGTACACACAGTTCTAGTCTTGTGGATCTGGATGTGTAGCAGTATAGTAGTATAGCAGTATAGTAGTAGTAGCTGTGCCCACTGGCAGCTCTCAGCAGGAGGATTGTGTCAAGACCATAAGAGAATAAATCAATTTCTGCAGCATGTTAATGTGCTTCTGCCTTTAAACTTATGCAGCAGAAAGTTTGTCTGCATCAGCATTTGTAATGAAACCCAGTGAATTACTCTAGGGATAACTCTGGCATAATGGGCTTCACAGGAACAACACTGTTCTGTTGAAATATGTTAACCCATAATCTTAAGTTTGGTAACTGCAATGCAGAACAAACAGATGGGGTCAGTTAGCTCAAACCAGAGCTGCTGAACTGATTGCATGTTCACTTAGCCAAACACTCATTTACTGCCTTGCAATAGGTTGGTGGCTTCTGGAGTCATAGCAGATGTAGCAGTCTGAGTCGTATGTGTCTGTGGGTGTAATCCATTTAGATTTACATGCTGTATAATCTAGAGCACTTTTCTCTGTTCCTGGAATCTTCATAATTCATCACCTCTTGCAGATCTTTTTCTGTATAGAGAGAACACTATGTAGAAAATGTCAGTTCAATTTCAATGAAATGCTTTCCTAAAAGCACTTCAATTTGTTGAGGAATTTTCTCATTACTCAGTCCAAAGCAAACTCAATTTCAGCTGCATAACTTAGAAACATGGTGGCTGCTAATAGTAAGAAAGAACAGCAGTTCTTGAACAGTGTTCAACATCAGTGTTGAAGACCTGGCTCTTTCTCTGCTCTTACCATTTAGAAGCACTTTCATGCAATAATGTGAATGGGTGAGAAATAGGATGAGGGCAGCTCATGACTATGATGCATGCCAGGTGCAAAAGATTTAATGCACAAGCAAGGACTTGGTCTGAGTTAATAAACTCTGTCTTTTTGTAATGTTTTTCCTTACTCATGCAATGGACAGATCAACATTATGCAAGAGTTTCTTAAGTTTGTGCCTATTGGTACTTGCCTTTATGAAGAAGTTTACTTGTACAGTATGATGCAAATTACAAGCTACTGAAGAAAATGAGACTATTCTAGAGCTTTTTGAGGAGAGGAACTGTTCCAGTGAGTATAGGACACAATAGCATGTTCTGCAGTAGCTTTGACCACTGAAGGTCTTTGCTCAATATTTCATTTCAAATTCTTTGTGGAGATGTTGGCTTTCTTGTTCTTTGTCCCCACTGCACCCCTCTTAAGTTCCACTAGATTATCTAATAGTTTAAGGCATAGAATAGGGAGCCACAGAGTTCATGGGGAAAAATTCAGCATCTCTGAAGTGAAGAGACAGGTTCCTGATCAGCCTGAGTGTTCTCACAGTCATCGTATCTGAGGACAGTTTGATACACTAAAACTTTCACAAACCTTCTAAATCCTGTACTGCCTCTGGTAAATGGATTTGGCTTACTGCAACTGAATAAAACAGGTTTGTAATGGCCACCACCTTAAGCCAGACTTACACAGCTCTGAAAGTGAGATATATCACAAATGTTTCTAGGTGGTTCTGAGGGAAACTCTTCACTGGAGCTTTTATTATTCCAAATACAGTGCTTTTATTCAGTGTAGTGGTATATGGTGTATATATAAATATAGGGTCTTTTTTCACTTAGTTTTTGCACTCTTGGGAAGATTATTAGATGAAATGAAGAAATAAAAGCTGGGAGGCATTAAAAAAGTTAAAATGCCATGACACACTGAAAGATATTGGAAAATCTGATGTCTCTTCCATCTTTATAGAACATGACAATGCTTTTTGGTTTTTTTGCTGTGTAACAATTATTTTCTTTAATGACTCAATCCAGGTAATTTTTGCTATAACTCTGCTTTCAGAATTTTATGAAGTTGTTTCCTTTAAAAAGGTTTCCCCAGAACAGTTGCTCAGGCAGAAGCGCTCGATCAAGAATGTCACATAGACACCGTGATTGACCTAGACGTGCCATTTGAGACCATAAAGGGTCGGCTTACAGCACGCTGGATCCACCCTGCCAGTGGCAGAGTCTACAATCTCGAATTCAGTCCTCCCAAAGTGCAGGTAAGCAATATGCATTGGTGTTGGCACTAAATAAAGTACTGCATTGTGTTTGCTAGCTGCAGTAAAATATTGTTTGCATAATGTGTTTCAAAACACAGCAGCTCAGAACAAAAAGGCTCATCTCATTTCTTGGGAGTGTGGAATCTTTCTGTTAACACTGTGCTGGTATGAGGGTATGTTAGTGACCTGGCAGAACTTTAAGGTGTTGGACAACGTTATTTGTCCCCTGCAGAGCAGAACACCATGATGTTTTGTAAGCACTTGTTAAAGCTGTTCACTGATCTGGAATACTGTCTGCCTTGTGCACTGGCACAGGATCTGGGCATGGTCTTAGCCTGTTTGCAGCCTGTACAGTCCAAAATGTAGATTTCTTTTCCTTCCTCCAGAGGAGTAATGCTTTATATACAGGAAACACCAAACCAGCAGTCAGAGGAATCCACTTAATGCTTTCCCTGTGTTTATATTTAACCAAGATGGGTATTTTCAAGGGAAGAGCTGCTGTACTGCAAAACTGGATGTAGAAACTTTCAAGTCAGGGAAGCTTTTCAACAGATTAATTTTTAACAGATTTTTATGACTTGAGATATCCTAAAGAGGAGATTGAAGATAAAGACTGTACATTGTTCCCTTAAATTTTTTCAAGAACAATTTGCTTTAGTGCAACTCAGCTAAAACTGTATTTCATCCTTAACTCTAAATAACTTAGCTGTTGTGGCATCACATTTCACTTGGAAGCTCTATTAATTTACATCAGATATAGAGCAGGCCCTGTAGCTTTTGAATTTTAGTGTTGCAGGAAAAGAGGACAGCTTGAAATACCAGGTAAGCACTGGAAGTGAGCAACTGAAAATATTGCCTTTGTTTTGTTTAAAACAAGGTGCTTAAAGTCATGGTTATTTTCAATTGCAGAAGAGCACAGGCAAGATGGAACAGAGAATTCTCAGACTTACCAGAGTAGGCTTCAGCTGCCAGAGCTTTGCTATTTAGGATCTGTCTTACCTTTCACTAATTAGCAGACTTACCACAACACAGTGGACTGCAATACTTAAATTGAAAACATGGAATAGAGCTAAACAGGTGAAATACAGTTGTCTCTATTATCTTAATAAACCTGCAAAATGCTTGCTTACTTAGTAGGAACATTCACACATTAGGTCCCTACCTCTGCAGGGAAAGCTTCAGCTGACTCTCATGCCATTTTTTTGTACAGCTGTTGTTAAATAATAACTCTTCCGTTTTGTAACTTAAAATCAAATGGCCATTAACTCCTTTGCCCATTTTAGTATTGTCAAATGAAGGTCCAATTGGTCTCTTATTTCTTGTTATACAGGAATATATTACCAACAGTATTGTTTTCTCTTGCATGTGAAGGTTTTGTCTTCATATTCCCCATATTCTATGAATGTTCCAGAGGACAAATTAGTCAAGTTACTATGATCTAATATTCACTGGCAATACTGAGAAAATATTTTTAATTGACAGACTGTTTTACTGGAAAGTCAACAACTTAACATTCCAGACAAGAACACAGGCAGCAGCCTCTCTTTATAAGCAGAAATCTACACCCTGATTAAGTGGAAATTGGTCATAATTTAAATAGAAAATGACATAAAGCATGCTTAAAGAGAAGTAAAAAGTATACTCTGGTATTTGCTTTTAACCATGATTAGGGAATTGATGACATTACTGGCGAGCCCCTTGTTCAGCGTGATGATGACAAGCCAGAGACTGTCAGCAAGAGGCTCCAGGCTTATGATGCACAAACAAAACCCGTCCTAGAATATTATCGGTAAGTAGTAAAATCTGTTCTTCCACGTTCCAAAATCTTACTGTGCATCAGCATAGTGAGGAACAGATCTCTCTGCTACAGAATATATTATACCACAACAGTGAGTGTGGTGTGAGTAACTGTGTAGCTTTCATGAACTCAGTCAGAAATCAACCCAGCAGAATGAGTATGATTTTCCAGGGCTGCATGAGACCTTCTGGAACCTGTATGGTAAAATAACCTGCCACTGCAGCCAGCCACATTTAGCTTCATAAAGACTGCTATGCATTACTCAATACATCATAGTACTGCTATGAGCAACAACAGCTCTGGTGGGTGAGGTAACAGACAGTTCCTTTTTTTGCAAGAATTTACAATATTTTGTTTTCTGGATGTATAAGTAGAACTCTGCTAATAAGTGCAAGGGGTCAAGAAGCCATACACAAATAGAGAAACTGTTAATGAGGATTTAAATGTGGCTGTTCTAAGAACAGGACTGTGACTGGAACCAACTAGCAAGACGCTTTAGGAATAAGTAGCTAATTCAGAATTGTCATTTGCATTGTGGAGTGGAAATAAATTACTAGTTCTTTTAAGAGTCAAAATTAGACACAATGTTTCTCCTAATGTAAAGCTGCAAGCATCATACTGCTGATATATAGATTCGTAGGTCACCATGTAGAGCTCTAGTCTTACCTTGCCTAGACAAAGAAATCAGACTCTTGACAACATCAATGGTTGTCCTTTCTGTATTTCCATATTCACCACCCTTCATTGTATCCTTCCAGGACTGTTGAGCAGAAATCAATGTCCAGCCTGCACTTCTGTGGTGGTTTGACAGGAAATGTGTTTTTTGGGATGCTGTGTTTGGGCCAATGGATATTCAGGCTTTAATACTGGCATTTAACCTGGCCATTTAGGACATGGACACGCCTCTGAGAACACGGGGTTAAAAGCAGAGCTCTCCCCTGGGAGGGTCCTCTTGGGTTTCCCGCGGGAAAGAGTTGGGGTCTGTCCCCTGGCCCAGCTGCTGGCTGGGCAGGGGGAGGGGAAAGCCATGTGGCCGAGAGAGGTAGGCCTGAGCCCGGGGGTGGAAGGGTGGAACAGAGAGAGAGAGACACCTGAGACTGTAACCTTGGTGCCGGCAGCACGGCTGGGACGGAGAAGAAGGGGGGGGTTCAGCCAGCCGCTTGTAGGAGCTTTTAACCCTTTTTTCGGAGAATGAGAACTTTACAGATCATTGACCTCTCCTAGAAGATAGAGTGGAAGATGAGGAAGGAAATGTGCAAGTGTGAGAGAGGTCTGGGCAAGCGAGAGATAGTGGAAGAATAGAGAAGAATCCTAGTGGGAAGAGATGATGGAGTGGCTTTTGCTGGACTCTTTTTGTACAGCCATGGACAGAACCATGTTCCTTGTGACACAGAGACTGCATTCTAGGGGGAGGCAATGGCCACAGAACCAAGAGGGTTCAGTGTCAGTGCCCCTCGGCCCCAGGGGGTGAAAAATATGGGGGAGACAGGTGTCTCAAAGGAGAGATTGTGCCTTTTTTTGGATCAGGACAGAGCATCCTTAAAAGACAACCCTAGAAGCAGCTCTGGTCCATGTTCAGTGGTGAGAGCACTGGACATGAAAGGAAGAGGTCACGACAGCAGATGTACTCCGGGCGGTGCCATGAGTGACACAGAAACACACGAGGCTTCAGCTGTGTTTCCAGGGGAAGCCCATGGTACAAGAAGGACTCCTCTCCTCTTGATGAACTGAGGATTGATTGTCTAAAAGGTGGTGCTGGACCGAGAGTTGGTGATTTGAGGAATAAATGTATTGTGTTGGAAATTTGGTGGGGGGAGGAGGAAATGCATTTGTGAGGTTTTCATTTTCCCTGTGTGTGTGTGTTCCTTTATTTGTAGTTGTAGAGTAGTTAATAAAGTTCTGTTTTCTTTCCTAAGTAGGAGCCTACTTTGCTTATTCCTGGTCACATCTCACAGCAGCTACCAGGGAGAGGGTATCTTCATGGGGGCACTGGCATTGTGCCAGTGTCAAACCATGACAACTTCCAATGCTACAGCTTTCTTGGTGTTACATCACATGCATATTTTCACACTCCTGCCAGGGTAATCTTCAAGTGAGGTGGAGATTTTGGAACAATTAAACAATTTGACATCTGTAATGCTTTTTTCTTTTTCTTCCTTAGGAAAAAAGGGTTATTGAAATCCTTTTCTGGAACAGAAACCAATAAGATCTGGCCACATATCTATGCTTTCCTTCAAACCAAGTTGCCAGATGTGAGCCAGAAAGATGCTACCAACCCCAGGTGAAAATGGGTCAAACTTCTGCTTATCTGTCATAGCTCACTCCCAATTACATGAGATTCTGCAATCAAGGATTTGTCCAAGTAGTCTACCAGACTCATCAATAATTTAAGTCCAATGCTGTCCTTAACTTACACTATGGTAGATTTTGTTGCCTGTGGTTACCACTTTAATGCTGTATTTTTTTATATTAAATATACCTAATTTCAAAAATACAGTAACTGTCTTTAACAAAAGCCAGTACTCTTGTGTCTCTTATTTGGAAAACACGTTGGCAATATTGATTGATGAAGGAAACACATTTCAGAATACATATTAATTAGAAAGCACATTGACTGATTTACTCAATCAGTAAATGAAGCAATGCCAAGAACATGCAAGCACATTCCTTGAACATGTGCCTAGCTGGAGCTAGCCAGAAGCTGCAAAGAACAATGACCACTGGTCTACAAAGAGTCATTTCAGACCAGAGCTCCTGTGTATGGAAACTGAACTTATGGAAAGGTTAGCTTCGTGTTTGCTTACACAGATGTGACTTGATTTTGCTCACCATAAATTGCACTTGTATCAGGGCAAATTATCTAAGCAAGTATTATGTTTCTATTTCTTCCCTCAGAGCAATATTTTGCAGGCATGGGAAATGGAGTTTCAATGATGTGTAACACATTTGGTAAAGCCTCTGTTTTTGTGTGACCCTGCAAGACTTTATCAGTAAAAAGATACTGAACAGATTGTAATCTGGTAAACCTGTAGCTAGATAGCTAGATGATCTTGACCAGTGAATGTCTTTTCTACTATCTTTCAAGACAAGTGCTCACTGATACTAGTGACATGATTTCCAGTGGTCAAAATACTAACTTTGGCATATTACTGTAGCAATTTTTATTGTACCAACTGGACTGGTTTTCATGATGTTCTTGTCTCTGAGCAGCTCTTGTGTTAATTAATTACACAACTGGAAATACAAACGTCCACAGTTCTTAACAGTCCAGGGACTGCAGACACTGCTATTTTTCAGTGAATCCTCCCAGCCCTTTTTTAATGCTTATCAGAGTGGGAGTTTCAGGAGTCAGCAAAATCTGAGGAACAACACTGTCTAGGTAATGTCTGAAGTAGCTGTGTCCTAGTAATGCAGGTTCCAATCTCCTTTAGCAGCGACTGTAAACAGCTACAGAGCTGGGGTTTGGACATACCTTGGACTGCATCTGCACATCCAGTTTTAGCATTATGAATATTGAGACATATTTCAGTCTAAAAAGAGATAGCCATTGTAGAATTTGTGAAGTTTTCCTCCTACTATAAATGAACAATATAAACAGCAGCTACCAGTACAGTTTTCCTTTCATTTAAAGAAAGCTTGCCAAGCATTTAAAGAAAGCTTGCTTGTACTGTCCTCTTGAGGAAATGCCTACATACTACAGTGAGAAACCCTGATTAGCTGCTAGTATTCTTACATTTTGATTTCAATAAAAATGTCCATTTTTTTCACCAGCATACATAAATTTCAGTGAACCAGGAGGAGGAGGGGGGGAGGAAATCTCATTATTTGACATTTATTTCTGCACCATCCAGTTTTACCCCCTTAGAAACTCAAGAAATAAGTTCTATTGTGTAATAGGTTGTTAGATCCACTGCTAAGGGTAGCAAGTCACTGTGCTATATTGCCCTTACTACCCTTGTATACAACATTCAGTTAAAAAACAACCTGAAGTTACTTGTTTTCCTTTAAGTTTCCTTTAATATTTAACTAATTATTAAGGAGGAGGCAGTGTTTACTTTCCCTTTCCTGGAGTATTTGTCAAGTTTAACCAGATGCAGTAGAAATTTGTATTTTTTGTCTCAAATTTGCATGTGGAACTACTCCTTGCTCTTCAGTCTTCAGACTGTTTGCAAAAGAAGGCTAGTGAATAGAAGTCATATGGAAAGCTACTTCTATGAGTGTATTTGTTATTGCATTGGTACTAATATTCTGGTTTATTCTGCAGACTTGGCTGTAGGCAAAACTGAAAATTACTGGAATCTATTTCCCAAATCACATAATAGTTAAGGTCGGAAAAAAATTCCAAAATCATTGAGTTCAACCTCTGACCATCACCACCCTGCCAAATAACTCACAGCACTAGATGCCATGTCCAGTCATTTCTTAAACACTCCCAGGGGTGGTGACTCCAACACTTCCATGGGCAGCCCATTCCAATGCTTGGCAACCCTTTCAGTGAAGGAAGTCCTCCTGATGTCCAACCTGAACTGCCCTGACCACAGCTTGAGGCCATTTCCTCTTGTCCTGTTACTTCTTAGCAGGGAGAAGAGCCAAACCCCACCCAGCTATACCCTCCTTTCAGGCAGTTGTAGAGAGTGATAATGTGCCCGAGCCTCCTTTTCACCAGCCTGAACAACCCCAACTCAATCAGCTGCTCCTCACAGAACTTGTGCTCCACAGCTACACCAGCTCCACTGCCCCTCTCTAGACACGCTCCAGCATCTCCATGTCCTTCCTGGAGTAAAGGGCCCAAAACTGAGCACAGGATTTGAGGTGCAGCTGCACCAATGCTGAGTACAGGGGGACAATCCCTGCCCTGCTCCTGCTGGCCACACTATTGCTGGCACAGGCCAGGATGCCATTGGCCTTCTTGGCCACCTGGGCTCACATTCAGTCACTGGCCCCAGCACCCCCAGGCCCTTTTCCTGTGAGCAGCTTTCCAGCCACTCTGTATCAGCTTGTGGCACTGCCTGGGGTTGTTCTGCATGAACTAAAAACTGGAGGTAGGCTATGAGCACTGAACTTTTGAAATCAATATGTCATCCAAACCTACATAAAATCAGGGCAATTCAGTAATGGATGAAGAATAGTACGGATACCATTACCTGAGGCATAAGCTGTCATTGCTAGTCTTCCAATTAAAGTATACATTTTTATAGACAGACCTGCTGTAATAGCAGCAAGTTAGAAAAGCACAGCAGAGTTCTGGAGTGCAAGATTCTGTTGTCTAGAAAATGTATTTGGATTTCCAGCTTCTTAAACAAGAAGCTTTTAATGCTTTTCCACTTAATGTTTGAGTTGACAATGTCAGAAACCCACTTTGGTTGAACAGCATATGAAGTAACATGCATGACACTTCCCTACGTGACTTGTAACAAAGCTTTTTGTTTAAACTGAGGTCTTAGCCTAACCCTTGTATAAGTTCCCTTCCTCAATGACTTCAACCACAACAAGACTTGGGTTTAAAAAAATAAATCTGAAGTTAGCCTGATGAACAAGAAGAGAATCAGACTCCCAGAAATCATACAACCCAGCATTCATTTGTAGACAAGTGTTGTTATGTTTTAGGATTAAACCAAGTTATGTTTAATGAAAGTACAATATAACATTTATATCCCCTTAGAAGAGGTAGAAAGCCAGTGTTTTAATCTAATCCATTCAGATCAGAAATACTGATACCAGATACTAATTTATTGCTATTAGTGATAACCAAATTTGAGAGCTTCTACTGTCAGCAAGGTAGCATGAATACAGTTGCAATCTCCAATATTCAGAGTAAAACATATCCACATCTGTAGTAAGACAATAGCAGATTCTACCAAGAATCTGCTGCTTCTTGTAAACATTGTATTTGTGCAGATGTTTAATTTCTAAAATCATGAAAGGCAAGGTTAGTAGCAGAAAACACATCCAGTTTCACATTCGGCAATATAAGAACCCTGCTCTTCAAGGACAACTAAAAACCTAGCAGCACATTTCAAACAATATTACAAGTTTTTTCTTAATTACCCACCCTTCAAAGTCCCTCCCCACCCCCCCAAATCAAATCAAAACAACAAAAATCTGACACGAAAAATAAAGTGCAGTACCCAGAAAAATAAGTGTCAAGAAAATAGCCATGTTTGTTTCTTTGGGGAAAAAAAAAAGGGAAATAAAAGAGTACTTGGCCTCAGTCTTAAAAAGTACTAAAATGTGTCCATCATTTTGGATTCTTCTTCATCTCTTTGTATCACAGAGTTGAAACCGCAGTCATCTGTGTTTATGGAACCTTGTAGATCTCCTGTGTTCTGCAACAGATGAAAAACTGACAGCTTAATGCTTCATAATTATATAGATGGAGGGAGAGAGAGAGAAACAAAGACTGTTTCCATTGTCCATCTTATGATGAGACAAATTTACAATAGAAAGGAAGTAAGATCTGAAAACATCCTCCACCCCTATTTTGTCACTGTGTCAAGATTTTTTTAAATTTGCTAGCATAGCTTGTATTTGGTCTTAATACTTCTAGCACCTAACTGCACATTTATATAAAATTCAGCTGTTTGATCTACCTTTGAGAGGTACTTTAATCAAATTATTTCAAACAAGTACTTTCAATTGTGACTCCTTACTAATACATAATTTTTGACAATCTTTTAAGTTGTTTCTTCATTACAGAATGTGGCCATAACTGGAACTGCAAAAAACACCTAAGCATACCCTTTTATAGGAAGGCTTTCCTTAAACTTGACTTCTCTTGCCCAGAGAAGTTGTGAGGTCCCTGGTAGTGTTCAAGGCCTGGCTGGATGGGGCTGTCTGGCCTATGAAAGGTGTCCCTGCCATGGCAGGGAGTTTGGAACTAGATGATTTTTAGGGTCCGCTCCAACTCAAACCATTCTATGATTCTGTAACTTACTTGACTGATCCCATGATTTTACACTGCTTGTGGTGATGACTGGGAATACAGTTCTAAGATCTGATCAGATTTATCATGCAGTGTTTATTTTAGGAATGAAAATGTAAAGGCAATGAACAAACATATACTTTTGACCTTTTGCTGATGCTCTGAATTCCAGCAAGTAAAAAGAAAGGCCATAAATGCCTTGTGTATTAATAACACTGCATGATATATCCTAAGCACTAGCAATTCAAGAAATAATCCTCTTTATATCTCAGAAAGGTACAGCTTCTCTAGTAGGACCTAATCCTGCTTTAGTTAAATTAAATTTTGGAAAAAATAAACCTACCTGGAAAAAAGATGTCCATTCTCCCACACAGCCAGGACTGACATTGAGATCATGGAGTAACATGGTTTGAAAGCCATGTGATTGTGACCAGATTCTCACTCTCGCCTTGAATGCCTCAAGTTCACTTTTAAAGGCCTCAAAGTAGCCTTCTCCTGTCTGCAAAGAAAAAAAAATGAAGTATTTGTTCTTTAGTCATTTGTTCTTTTGAATTGTAAGCTTACACAGTGCTGAAAAAAATCCAGGCAGTAATGACACGTTATACCTTTTGGGGAGTAACAACTGTGAACAACTCAGGGATAAAGTTAGTCAATTTAAAGTTATGTTTCATGCAGATTTCTTTTTAAGACAATCTGTAGCATTTATATGCATAAGTAAAGTAGCTGATTTATCTGAGAACATGTAAAACCAAGCCTAATTTTAGCCTGTAATTTATTCCAACTCAGAAGGTATCCTTACAACAGGTGCTTGTTGAAGCCCTTAGATCAAAAGTAAAGCACAAACTAACCCACATTTTAACTATACTAGTTTAGGCAACATTAAGATCCATTAGAGTCTTGAACAACTGAACAGTATATAGCAAATCACAGTTTCAGTTTTCCCACCTTTTTCCTACGAAGCTCTGGATTGCCCTATTTCAGTCATGAGAAAGGGACACTTTATATAGCTGCCTCACAGTAAGGGGGAGACTTTGAAAACGTGTGTAATTAGTCAATAGTCAGACCAGTGTGAGATCAGTTCGTGTTTGCTGTTCTTACTTAGTTATTACTCGTCTGTGACACACCTGCTGTCCCCCAGCCGCATCTTGCTTTCCACCTACAAGCAAAATCCGCTAAGCTTTCATTAGCAGAACCAGAATTATAACAAAGTGGTCTATCTAGAAAATAATTGCTATCAAAACTCTTTCCCATAAGCCTAAATCAGTCAAAAATTTCTTTAGCCTCACATGGTTGGGAAGAAATCCCTTCTAAAACACTTGTATCGTATCAAGAGTTTCTCACATTATTACCCAAGTTGACTTACTTTGGCTTTTTGGAAAAAGAGACGAAAACATCCTCTTGGATCCACATTGCAGCTTCTGGCAATTTCTATAATAAACTGCATTACAACTGCTTGGTGTGCTACTTGCTCCATCAGAGCTCTTTTCTGAAAAAAAGTTAAAGTCATGATTTAAAGATATATTTCTAAAATTCAGCAGAATTTCCTTTTGTTCCAGTTCCTAAGCAGATGTGAACTGATGCTTACAGAAATAAGAGGACTCATAGTTAGCTATAACTAGACATAAATGTGACAATGCACTATCAATAAAGTAGAGAGGGCTGGAAGAACAGTTAAACAGCTAATGAATTTGGTCACATTTCTACTGTGCAAATAGGAAAATGTGTGCTTCCAAAGATTTAAACATCTTCATACCTGTTCAGCTTCTAGATGAAAACACCACAACATGAGATATCTAGATGTTTCTTCACATACAAGGTATGGGTGATCAGACAAAAACCTTTGACTATCATCCCATCTGCTCAGCATGCCTAATAAGAGAAACACAGTTAAGATATTCTAAACAGATAAATGATTTAATGCAGCAAGGAAATTACCTGTATTGATACCAAGTATACATAACAACTTGGCAATTTACTAACCTCAGAATAACAGCATGCAGCTAAATTTGGGGGTTTTATTTATACATCTATCAATGCTGAAAGAGCATCACTAGAAGGCATAATTAGTCTTTGAAGATACTAAAAGCAGATTGTAACAGTCATGCACTTCTAGTAATGCTGATAATTTATTTTTAATCAGTCCTCACAAGCTAACAAAGTGGTGCAAATATCTGTTAATTACAACACCAAATAGCTTAAAAAGTTTATGGACAGATATTTACATAAAGTGATTCTAACAAACACAAATCCTCTAAATGTTTGCAAATAAAAACACAAAGAACAGAACCTGTAATCTGTCAAAAATTAAAGCATATAGTTTGCTAGACTTTTAGAGAATTCAAATTAATTATACAAACACCTTGATCTCAAAAAACAAACCCAGTATTTCCAGTATTGGAAAGTTAATTAGAACTTTGAATGGCAGTATCATGGCACTAGCTTCAAGTAACAAGCCAAATGTAAAAATCAGAACTCAATACTCATAGCACTTCCAGTTGTCCTATCTCTGACAGTCATTATTGGCAACAGGTACCAGATGTACAGCTTCACCCGTCTATCAGCACGTAATTATAACAGGGCTAAAGATAATTCAATGGTAATGACCTGAGATGATCTTAATTCTAGCAAACAAATGCTGAAAGAGAAAGCAACAGGTTGTATTTCTTTTAGACTATTTTCAAGTTACTCTGTGCAAGTTCTTCATTGTTTTGAAGCCAGAAGAGGATCCAGAAGCAAGACTCATGCAATATAGCGGAGTCCACACTGCCCCTTGGCAGAGCTTCCCCTTCCAGAGCATGGAACAAGTGACTTCAGAAAGCATTAATGTACTGTGGCTTTCTACAATGGACTTATGTATCACAAATTAAAATAATAACATGGCTTTGAACTCAGGAAGTATTAAAAAAAATTACCTTCTGTAATAAGGTTGCTTCTTTAACAGTCTAATTTGAATTTAGACAAAGAGTAATTTTGCCCAACTCTCAGCTAGGAAGCCTACAAGATAGCCTCTTCTTTTTTTACCTGCTGAAATGCACAGCAGGAGAGATATTTTCTAATTCCAATATCATTACACTGAATAGTTAAGGTACTTAAGAGAACCTGTGCCTATTACTACTATTTGCATACTCTTGACAGTGTTGTGCCTTTACTTGATACTTGAAAGGCTTGCTAAGGTTAACAGGGCTCAAAGCCCTTTCTTTAAAACCGCTTTAAGTCCCCCAGAAGCCAAAAAAAAAAAAAAAAAGTAAAAACAACTTTCTAAGAACAACTGAATTCTGCCAATCCAGTCTTAGTCTTGATTGTTCCAGAATTCCAAATATGGCAATACTATACTATAGCACGAAACCAGCCCGAATGGCAAGCACTTCAGAGAACCATACAAATTTTAGATTACAAGATCAGCTTTGTGCTCAGTCGAGTTTAACAATTACGACAGAGCTAAAGTGACACCTAGTGGATAACTAAGTATAGTTTTAAACGCACAATCCTGAGCACACATACTCTCAGTGTAGGTGTTAACAAATATGTCCATTTAATCAGCCATTACCCTTATAAATTAACAGGTAACAGAAAATCATTTAATAAAAGATTTAACTTCATCTCCTTTAAAAAAGGAGAGAGCCATGGATGACCCATCCACTTTTATATACATGACTTATATGTCTAGGAATGTCCCCATCTTTTCCCACTTGTGTGGAATATCCCTGGAGTCCTGATAAAATAAAACTGAACAGTCTGTCACTTAGGTCTTTCATTTATTAGCATTCATTCTGTACAAGAAGGAGCAAACCAAAAAATTCTGTAGGAACCACAAGATGTTGGAAAAGCAGACTCACCGAAGTGTCTAATCTTTTGTTCATGTTTTTGCATAAGTGGTTCAGACACAGACTCATCTTCAATTTCTTTTCTTTTTTGATTAATAAAACTCTGCGGAAGAGAAAGATTGTACTATTACATAAAATCCACACATACTCACATACTGTTTAGTGACATAAAGGAGTTATTATACTTTAACATATTACTATTTAAATGGCTATGTTCTAATTTTAGAGTTGTATCATATTTGAGGAGGATTTTTTTCAGAAAGTGTCTTACCTAGTAACAGAATTTCAAAGTTTCCTTATAATCTCTGAAAAACTTCTGTTTTCATACAGGAACTTATTGATTTGTTAGTAATGAGAATCATGTACATTGCAGTCTGGATCAGGAGAAATTAGGAGATGTGATAGTGATGAGAAACTCATTTTTGCTTTTTTATATTATCATGTCTATTTGTAGCTGTTTAGCCTGTTATTGTATAGCTATATAGATTCATAGCTAGAATTTTACCTACTTGGTTAGCAAGAAAGACAAAATACATTCCTAAAACCTCAATCCTTATCTAGTTTCTTCTGAAGCCAAGGACAACACTCTACCATAAAGCACTAGAGAGGAATTGGGGCTTCAGAAGAGGGCATAGTACCTCAACATCTGTGTTTCTAATTGGACGTTCTTGTCAATTATGCTAATTTGCTACCCTTACAAAACTGTAGTTGCTCTAGGTCACATATGCACCTTCAGTGCATTTTTCAGCGTGTATTTTGGGACCCTTCACAAAAAGTTAACCACATTTATCACCTGACTGTGTCTGGCTTGTGACTTTAGGGCTCAGTAAAAGGCAACGATAGCTGTTGAAATTAAATTGTGAAATCAAAGATAAGATCCTACTATTAAAAAAAGCTCATGCTAAATAATTTGTATTACAGTAGACAGTATTAGAGGCAAACTAACACTTTCATATTCTGGGTCGGATTGGACATTTAAAGACCAATGAGTTTCAACCATCCCTGCCCAGGCAAGAACATCTTCCACTGGATTAGGTTGCTCCAAAACCAGTCTAATCTGACCTCTGTTGCTTCTAGGAATTGGGTATCTACAGCTTCCCTGGGTAACTGGTTCCAGCATCCTGATATCATAATAATAAAAAAGAATCTTCCTTACATCCAATCTAAACCTACCATCTTTCAGTTTAAAGCCATTCCCTCTTGTCCTGTCAGCACAGCCTGCGATAAAAAATGTTTTTCTCCCTCTTTCTTATAAGGTCCCTTTAAATACTGAGAGGTCATATGAAGGTAAATTAGGGCTTCCTGGATCCTTCTTTTCTTCAAGCTGAACAACCCCAGCTCTCCCAGCCTTTCCTCACAGGAAAGGTGTTCCAGCCCTCTGATCAGCTCTGTAGCGCTCCTCTGGAGCTGCTCCAACAGTCGTCCTTCTTGTATTGGGGACCCCAGAACTGGGTGCATTACTTTGGGGTGGGTCTCAGCAGAGCAGAGGGGCAGAATCCCCTCCCCGGCCCTGCTGCCCACCCTGCTCTGGATGCAGCCCAGGACACGTCTGGCTTTCTGGGCTGGGAGTGCCCATGGCTGGGTCATGTCCAGCCTCTCAGCCACCAGCACCCTAAGCCCTTCTGGGCAGGGCTGCTGGGATCTGTTCATCCCCAGCCTGTGCTGAGACTGGGGGTTGCCCTGACCCAGGTTCAGCACCTTGCACATGGCCTTGTTAAAACACATGAGATCCCCGTGGAGCCACTTCTGCATCTTGTTCAGGTCCTCTGGAAGGTTTCCTTCGCATCTAATACTGCACCACTCAGCTTGATATCATCTGCAAACTTCCTGAAAGTGCACCCAATCTGTCTGTTTAATTTTAATAAAGACAATAAATAACACTGGTCCCAGTACAGACCCCTGAAGGACACCACTGGCCCCTGGTGTCCATTGGACTCTGAGCCATTGACCACTACCCTTTGCATGCCACCAACCAACCACTTCCTTATCCACCTAACAGTTCATCAAATCTGTCTCTCTCCAGTTTAAGAGAAGGATGCTGTATGAGACCCCATCCAAGGCTTTGCAGAAGTCCAGATAAATGACATCTGCCACCCTTCACCTGTCCACTGATGCCATCACCTCGTCACTGATAAGGCCACTGAAGAATTGGTCTGGCAGGACCTGCCCTTGGTGCACCTGTGCTGTCCTGAACCACCTCCCTGTCCTACGTGTGCCTGAGCACAGCTCCTAGAAAGGTCTATTCCATGGTATATTCCATGACCTTCCCAGGCACAGAGGTGAGTGACATATTGTGTTTTTGTTCTGTACAAGACACAGAAGACACTCAGAGACTATTAACAACTGGAATGAACAAAACAGGCTAGCTTGCTTCCACGCACAATGATGTAGGTCATACCTTATTAAAAACTTCTTTACTAACAGGATCTGTGTTCCATAGATTCTGTCGTTCCCTCTGGTTTAGCGCTTCTTCTTTTCTTCTCCACTCTTCCTCCCTCCTTCTCAACTCGGCAGCTTCAGTCCTTGCTTGAGCAGATTCCTGATCAGAGGATTCTGAATTATGCAGTGCTAAATTACCAAATTTTTGCTGGGCTTCTGCTAGGTTCCAGGTGCATTCTACAGAGTGCTTCACAAACTCTCTTTCTTTTTGGCAGGCTAATTCAATCCCTTGGCTGTATGTCTGTGAGGAAAATCAGACATGGTATTTATGGAGAGAAAATTGTTGATTTACCATTTCTATAGAAGCAGACTGGCCTAAATTCCAAAGCTAATAATAATGCACCTGGAAGGCACCTTAGATATGCAGCATTATAATAGCAGAAGTGATGAAGCATGGCAATGTACAGCTATGTCTTCTAGAAAGAGATTTCCAATTCAAGTCACCCTAAGTTTATTAAGTGTATTTGCAGAATCATGGATCATGTGCTGCTATCAGTAATAGTCTCCAGACTGCAAAAATACTTTTGACACAGCTGAAATCCCTCTGGCTGTCTTAGGGCTGGAACATTGGCAGCAGCCAAGTGTGAGAATACTCTGAATATACACTTCTGATAAGAAAGTATTGGGCTTACAATGTCAGATCACAACAGTAAAGTAACTGCTGCTCCCTGCATTTCAGTATTAGTACCCAAACAAATGGCCAACATCTTCTCTTGAACTGACACAAGAAGTGGTATTTAAGTTATAAAGCGGCCAAGGCCCAGCACAAACACATGCTCCTTCAGGTCAAATCTGTTGCGGATGTCACCACTCATAACTGGGAGAGAAAAGGGACATCTTAAGCAACCCTATTTATATTATTTCCAGGTGTGTGCTCAGAATTCACACTCACTAATATGCCAAGCCTTTCTCATCAAGAGTGAAGAAAAATGCATCCATATGCATTAGTTCCTCAGCCTTCCACTGCCACGTTATGAAATCTGCAGTGCTGATAGCCTCTGGCAGGGGCACACGAAGGACAATTTGTGAAAGACTATCTGAAGGAAACTTTAACGCAAGTAAATCAAACTTATTGTCCCAACTTTGTCTGAGAACTACAGCATTTTTATTTCTGCAGTAACAAGAAGAAAATTCCACCGTTGGAAAAGTAACGTCATGGCAGCTGCTTGTGAGACCACACAGAACTCCTTACAACGCGTTTATAAATCGCCGCCTCGCCCTGGCCAACAGAGAAACACACCGCCTACCTATCAGCTCCTTGGGCACGGGGACGCTGGGATAACTCAGCCCAGCTCCTTCCGCATCGCCTGCCCGCGGTGGAGCTGCTACCAGGGCAGCCCGCCAGACCCCACCTGTCCCCACCGGCCTTCGGAGCCCCGGCGGGCGCTCCGGCACGGCCCCGGCTCGGCACGGCGACCCCGCTCCCGCCGCCGCCCCTCCGCGGGCCGCGCCGCCCAGCACCGACCCGCACCGCGCCCCCGGGCGCCAGACGCGGGGAGAGGGGCCGGGGCTGCGGGGCACGGGCGTACCTGCACCTCCGGCAAGCGCTGGCGGAAGGCGGCAGCCTGTGTCAGCTCCTCGTCCTCCTCCTCCGGGGCTCCGCCGTCCCGGGAGCGCGGCAGCCACAGCGCCATGCCCGGTGCCGTCCCGGCGGCGCGACCCGTTCGCCGGAACTGGGGTAGCGACACTTCCGCCGATGGCAGCGAGGCCGGGAACACCCGCCCTCGGCGCGTCGGGAGGAGCGAGTGGCGAACGCGCCTCAGGGGCGGTAATATAAAGGCAGCGGGGCCGGCGGGGCGGGCCCTGCCGCGGGTCCGCCTCGGCCCCGGCTCCGCCCCGGCCCCAGCTCCCGCCCTTGCCGTGGGTGGCGCCTCTGTCCGTGTCTCCGCCTTTGTGCCTGCTTCGTCGCGGTCTCTGCCGCTGGCCCTGTCCTGTGCTGTCAGCTGTCCGTATGCCTTTCCCTACTCCTGCCTTTTCCGTGCCTCTGGAAGGCCGCTCACCTTCCTGCAGGCTGCTGCACGGCCTGGCAAACAACCACGTGTGTGTGTGTGTACATATATATACGATCCTTCAGTCCTAAGAGCTCCTGGGGTGCTGTCTAGGGTGTTGTAATAGCTTGGCTCTCATCTGGGAATGGAAGTTAGCATATAATGAGGCCATACCTTTGTGATAGCGCCCCTGCAGAGATTAAAATGTGCCCTCGTTGTAGCCCTACTTTTTTACCCATGGATTGGCTGTTTAGCTCTTCTTCCAAACAGAAGGTGCTGACTGATTCTTTGGGGGTCGTAGGTGTAAAGTTTGCAAGAAAAATACGCCAGGAACTTCAGATTAAATGGGAAGGTAGGGGACCTGTTGCTGTGTGTTGTTTATATAACAAAAGGATTACTGCTGTGGCCAAAGGGATAATACTAGTATGTTGATCGCAACAGTCCTCATCAGATAAAAGAAAAAGAAAATTATGGTTTTCATCAATCATTTTCTTGTAATCAAATGTTTCTGTGAAATGCTAAGGCCTATGACATTTAGTCCCTGTTACATGGGACAATAAAAGCCAAAAATACAAAATGAGAGAACTCCCAATGATAGCTCTTAACCTGGCATTTTGAGGTTATCAGTAATAACACCAAGGGCCACTGAGTCCGTTCTGAGATAGGGTCCTGCAGACCTGGACTGGTGCACATGCCTAAGACTAGACCAAGGAGTTTCATGTGAAAGTATTCTTTTCTTTCATAAGGGTACATTTCCTGGTGTGTTTCTGGCTGAGAAACCAAGATATTTCTCAGTTTGTGCATCTTGGATGAACACAAAAAGGCAGAATGAATGCCTTCCCCCTGTTACTCCTCTTGTCTCATAAGGTGTGCTTTGAAAAGGTGTCTTTGGTTTGTTGTATGTTTTGGGATAGAAACTGATGTCTCAAGTCTTGTATGAGGTATAATTCAGGTGTAATGTTATTTATCTTTACAAGTGATAAGTTATTCTTGTTTCACATGTATCTCAGCATAATAAGATGCATTATTAGGCCCATTCCTCAAATGGAACTGTACATTTCTTTAGGATTTTATGATCTGGAATGTTGACATAAGTGATAATGAGAGGTCATCTCCAACATGGACAGTTTTTACCTAATATTAGTAACAGCAATAGTCTATATGAGGGTAATGAAGTTATTTTGATTCAGATATGATTGATCTGGGATCAATATGATGCCCTAATTATAATATGGCTATCATCTGTTGAGCTTTCTGTCTGTATAGAAAACATATAATGTAAATGAAGATCTAAATAAATGATGGACGAGTGGTTTTAGTGCACTTTTACATGTCACTCAAACACCTGGAACTGATCATAAGAGGAGTGTCAGTGTTTTTCCTGTACCTTATTGTATGTTAATGCATGTTGTGTTTCAAGATTGCTTTTTAAAAAATGGTGTAAGACAGCATGCCTGTGGCTACTGACAAGCAAGCCCATGCTGAAGCCATTTGCAAAACAGGTATGCAATAAGTTTAGAGGAACAGTATATTTCTTATCTATTTGATCCAAAGTCTTCTTGATAGTTTTCCAAATTACTCCTACTACCTGTATGTTTCTCAAAAAATGTTTACATCTGGCTCTCAAGAGGCTTTTCTTTGAGTAGCATGATTGCTTTTCCTTTCCCCTCTGGTTGTTCTTGACACAAGTGGAAAACCACACATGGAAACTAAACTATTATTCTCATTAAGGCCTTTTCGCAGTCTCAAAACAGATGCAACTCTGAACACATAACTCTTTGATCTCTATGCAATGAAACCCCACAGCCATGTTATGACCAGAAGTGGGAAATATAACCCACTTCCAAAGAGTAGTTTCTTATATGTTTACTTAACGCTAAGTAATTCACATGAAGTAGGTCTTGTTAGATAAGTTCATCTTTTTTCTTACCACACATTAGGGGTTTTTTGTGCCTGTCACCTTCATTAGTAGGTGTTGACAAACAGTGAAGTAGCACATTTTCTTGGAGAAAACATTGCTTAGGTCAGCCCTCTTTAAAAAAGACTTGCTAAAATATTGTCTGAAAACACTGCCATCATTCAAAGAAGGACGTTAATGCCTTAAAAAAAAAAAGAGTAGCAAATATTAATAAAACAAGAGGAATGCAGCTGAATGCATCTTCTCTAAATAGGTAGAATATCTGACTTTTGTGCCCAAATAAAATCAGTGGTAAAATTCCAATTTACTTCAAAGGGGCCAGAATTTCATTCCAAGGTGTGCAAAGAGCATTTGAATAAGACATAATTCATTGTAGCAAAATAGACAAGAGCTAAAGGCTGTCAAATGCATTCGAATTTGTTTCTTAAAAGGTATTTCACAGGTGATATCTTAACTGATTTTGTTTTTATAAGACATTCAAACACACTTTACATAATACACAGAAACATAAAGGAAGACTTCCTTACATTTTCTCATTTGTCCATAACCTCTGTGGAGAATTACTGTCCTTTAAGGTGTTTAGAGTTACAGCTTTTAATCTTTTAATTTGGGATGTGTCCTGTAGGATTGGCCAAGAATTCAAGTGTTTTTCAAACATATATTTCCTAATTGTGGTTCTTCTGGTTTACAGTTCAAAGAATTTTACTCAGGGTACTGTAAACCTGATATTTTTTCCCTACAAATTACAGGCTGTTCTTCTGTAGAAGTCGATGCCTATATGAATGAATATGAAATTTCAGCTTTGTTTTTTACAAAAGATTGTGTAACTTAAAAAATGTAAATCATATCCTAAAATACATGGTAACATATAATATTAGCTAAGTGTTTTGCTCAGTGGCTGCTTGGCAAAAAATATGAGAATTATTTTGAATAGATATTGAAGTGTTCCTGTGAATGCTGGTTTGTTTAATGAGTGTTATAATTAATTTATTTGCTTCTTACTGCTTTCCCATAGATGTTTGAAGGTGCTTTAGCTCCTGCTGAAGAAAGCAAAATACAGAAAGTGTGATATTTGAATAGGTGATAATTAAAACTGAAGAAGTAGATCCGTGTATTCACATAATGGGTCTCTTTCTCTGACTGTCTTTCCAGAGTACATGACCTGGTACATATTGGTCCCCCTTTATGTTGCACTTATTTGAGCCTTTTGAATGTCAGCCTTTATAAGAAAGCTGCCCTCAAATGAATTACATCATTTTTCCATTCTTAGGACAGGCTGTGTTCTGACACCTAGTGTGATACACTGGGCTAACTTGACACTGTGCTTTTCATTTTTCTATTAGCAATTTTGCATTTTGAAGTCTGACAGGTCATGTCACATTTAATGGTTAGGCAGTCTTTTAAAAGCCAAAATCTATTGCTTGTAAGGGGATATAGGAGAGAAAAAAAAATTATTTACAACAATGGCCTGTCTACATTCTGTTTTGCCATTGCTAGTAAACTTTCAACAGTCAGTCATACCTACTGAAGCACATGTTTAGTTAAAATATTTTTATTTATTTATAAAATTTTATTTTTATTTATTTATAAAATTTTAATTTAAGGTATTTCCTTAATAGCTATTTAAGCTATTTCCCTTAGCTTTAATTCACTTGCAATTCCTTTGTCTTAAAAGGGTTTCAGGTTTTTGTCCTTCTGGAGCAAGCCATTCCTGTTAAAATCAACAGAAGCTCAAGCAGAAGCCACTGACTATCCCATTATCCTGATGGATTTACAATCCATCAGGTATCAATCACAGAGACCGACTGTCCTGATAGTACTTTTATGTGTGTATCTATTAATAATGAAAATAATATTAGAACAAATACTTAAGGAACCAAAGTAGATAGTAGCTCTGCATCTATCTCCTTTCTCATCTATCATTTATCCACTCTTCTCATTTCTTTGCTGTTCTCCCTCCATTCCTTTCTGTATGCGTAGCTTTTGATTACAGTCCCAGGTGTAAACAGTACATCTATCATTCAGCCACCCTGCTATATTTTATTTTTCATCTATCACTTACTGTAATAAAATTTGAATTAACTCATCTTGTGTCTTCAGGTAATAGGCAAATAAATATAAATATTCTTCCATATGCTAATTGATTTGATACTGTAAAGGATATTAGTATCAGGATACTAAGGATACTGGTGTTAGTTTTATGTCATGCACCCTAACTTTCTCTCCCTTATAAAGGACCTTATAAAGGACCTTTAAGGACCTCCTCCACTGGTATTTCTTTCTACTCCATAGTTTCTTGTATATTGTGGGTACACATTTGAGTAAAAAAAATTCTTTTCTGATTTGAATATTTTGAATGATTTGTTAAGATCAGTCATGATGCTTTAGTTTCTTCATCCTAATCTTCTTGTTTTTGATAGCAGTCTAGTTTTCTGGTTACATTCAACTAGAACAGAAAAATGTAAAGTTCATCTTGTTAGATAGTCATCTTCAGGCTTCATATTGTGTGTTCTTGTAAGATGGGAAAAAGGCAAATGGACATGGGTTGGCAGGTGACTGCTACTGTTGAGGTCATGGATTATGGAGCATTCATGTATGTTCTAAAACTGCAGGCTATTTACTAAAATTGGTTATTATTCTGTTACATCAAATTAAAAATATACTTTATGTTCCCCATGTTACAAATATTTCCTGTACATTTGGTATTTGTTTTTCAAGATATTTTGCTTGAGATAGTCATCTTTCCCTTTCCTTTTTGCTTTATGCTTTGAAGAGTTGCTGATATATTAAAGGGTAATTTGTGATACTGTTCCTGGTTCAAAAACCTC